GTCAGTAGGATCAGAACATTACCCAGAGATGCGGTAAAGGAGAGGATAATGTTGAAAGCTAGGAGAGATGCTCGGAACCCAATTGGTAATTGTGATAAGGGGCCTGTAATGTTGGCCATTGGTGTTTACGTTCAGACGTCTGGCTTTGTCTCTCCTTGTTTTTTCAGTAAATGAACCTTTTACTGACGATAACTATTCGGTATAGGCGTCCTGTCGCAGTGTTTCCCAAGCAGCAGTTGCCATTGGATAAAAAGGTTTCATGACGTTTCAGTTGACAAATATTGCAGCGTCAATCAGACCTGTTTGCAACTCTTCCGCTTTTTAACTATATTCTTGGCGTTTTATTAATGTTCAATGAGCAGGTGTCATATTTATTTGAAATGATTTATTATGCGGATTTTCTTAATTATTTTCGCTTATGTCTGGAAGGGCTTCGGCAATAGTTTTGTATTTTTGATCCGTGTGTTTCTCTGCCCTTCATACCCATGCTAGCTCGTTCTTCGTTTTTGTCAACGCAATAAAATCTCGAGTTTTCTAGGTTTGAAAACTAATTTCTCAACGATAAGACAATTACTCAAATTAATACTTAAAATACTCTGCTGGTGTAGCCTTGGGGTGCTTAGCAAATTTATAAAAGCTATCATCGTTTAGGTGTTTTGTCAACATAAACAGATTTAGTCGGAAAGCTGATAGTTAAGTAGAAAAAAACAAACAAACAAACAAACAAAACAAAACAAAAAAAATACGAAAATTTTCATATTTGCACTACCTGTCGGAAGTATGTGTATCGTTTATTTTTTAAGGGACTAGTCAGTTTTTAACGCCTTGGGGGTGGGGTGGAGGACTTTTGAGAGAACACATGGCTCGAGGGGGAACGGGGGAGGGGGGGGAGAGAGAGGAGAGAATCAGTTGTCGCCAAAAGATGAGTAAGGGGGAGGATGATGAGAATATTAAGAGAGCCTTATGGGGGGAATCAGGTAAATTTTATCTGACGCAGCTCAAATCCTCCTCCTTGCAACAATTTCTTTTCCTTAGCCAACAGTTAATTTTGAAAGTATTGGTTCATTTTTGATAGAAGTGGGTGAATCTTTCACCGCCTGATGCTGCTTTCCGAACGGACCCAAAGAATTGGAGAGCGAAGTCAAGGACTTTAATCCAACTCTCGCTTTTAAGACTACAGTATTAATATGATCAAAGGACATAGGAAACGAACTTTTGACTGCAATTGTCGTTCAAAACAAAAGACAGATCTAAACCCATGTAATTAAAAGCGCGTTTTCCTTGTTTGTAGTGTCATTACAACGCTGTTGTAAAAATTACTTAAAATGTATTTGCAATTGTAATTGCATCTTGCAAGAACACCTTAGTATTTGCTTGGGATTTTTACCTCTCGCTCACAGTTCCCGTAGCCTCCCCGCGCGGCACACAAAATGCGAAGAGCCATGGTGGTTGAGGGTGAGTATTTTCTTATTTCAAGCTTTTTCTATGAGGTTTCGATTAGAGCACGTTAGATCGAAAAAAGGTCCCGCTGGAGCCCGTTTCTCGAAGGTTCCGGTAACTGAACGGACCCCTAAAGCTGTTCTGTTTTCATTTCCCCTACCCACTAATACAGACGAATGAAATGCTACAAAATTTTATGACACCTGACATTTTTTCCATGCAGGAGACTTGGGTAAAAATTGTGGCCATCCTTCACAATAAACATTGTACACTGACGTGATACAGAGCAAGCAATTACTTTTTGCAGCTGCGTGCCTCAATTATTTTCAAGAATTTATTTCATTGGCCAGTGTAGAATATATCATGTTGTTACAGAAAGGACTAGCACCGTTGCCTTGCGATAAATCTGTCTTGTCCATACTAGATTTCAAGGAGCTACAACTACTGTTTTATGGTGTTTAACAGGCACAGTTCTTCGAGTTGGGTTTGTTATCATTTAAGAGTCTTTGGTACCTGTTATTGTGCTTCTTCGACATAGAATAATGATGAAATTTAACATTTAATCTTCCAATTAGATATTATTGTTTTTTTTCTTAGTTTCGTCGGTGCTTCGCGAGATTTAGCAGAGAAATGTGACATTAAACAACTCATTGTGAAACATTCCGTCGATGTTTTGCACTTTTTTTAAGGCCCGCTAACAAAACTGTCGTGTTTTGCAGAATTCATGATTCGCGCAAATGACACTCTGGGGAGCAATATGATAATTTCTTAACTTTAGAGATAGTACGCGCTCTCTCCTTGGCCTACAGATGTGTACAGACGAGAGTATGCAAACACGGTTCTGACCTCACGCTTTCTGTTCTTTTGAGAAGTATTTTAGAAAACCGATAGGGGACCTTTCTTTTCAAAATTCAGAGCTCGTGCGTATGATTTATTTATGATTCATCGTTTAACATTTTCGCTTTGTTATTGGAGGCAGGTGTGAACTTGTTATGGAAAAAAAATCAATTTGTTTTCCACACATGGACATTGAAAGAGGCTGAAATGAATGCCAGGGTTTTCACCATAGAGCACTTGAAGTTCAACTGGTGCTCGTTGTTTTCTCTTCCCGAATTTACTATTAACAAAATAAAAGAGAGATGCGGTAATCACTTCTCCGCCATTTTTGTGGCTTCCGCAACTTGCTCGATGTATAATGTGGTCCTATTTAATATTCAAATAGGACGCATTTCAAAGTGAAAGTTAATTGTATTTATGTGGAGGTTTTTACTCTTGATTCTGGGGCTAAGTCAGCTGTAAGAGAAAAGAAAAAAACATGAAAAAGCATTGGTTCTCTCTGTTTACATGTATGGATGGAGAAGCTGACATCGACCCAATGATTATGTTAGGAAAATGAACACTAATCCTCGATTGAAAACGCCGCTTACGTACGGTCTGGGGGCACGCGCATTTGAATGGTTCTGTGAAAAGGTTGTCAAATGAAAATGTTGTTTTTAACTTCACTGAACACGATTTATTCAGTCTATTCTCCTGTTTTTGGGGTAACATAAGCGAGGACAGGGCATATCGAACAAAAACATGATCTTACCTGACGGAAATGTTTTGTTTATGTGTGTGCAATCTTTGAATACATATTAGAATACTGGTTCAAGGTAGAAAGTGGAAAAAATCTCGATCAATTACTTTAAGTATGTTATTCTAAACGATAAAAACTAATGGATGTTATTTCTTCTTCCTGGTAGAGGATAAAAATTTTACATAGCTCCTATTTACATGGTAATTAAGTTTTCGACTTTGCGAGGGCAATTATAGCTTGTCAGTAATCGATTATTTCCCAGTCTGCTATGATATTGAATTGGAGACGATTGTTATGAACCTACGGTCTACCGATTAGTACTTAGAGTGCTCTACCACTGAGATATTGGAGACTCGAGGCAGCATAGGCGGTTTAACTAGGTTCTACTAAACTTTTGTTTAAATATGAACGGTTTTTTGTGAGATTCTGGTGTTTTAAGAACACGGAAGTCTTTTCGCATGAAGACAGGCAACCTTCAACTACAAACAACAGCAAAACGCCTTGGCTGTGTTTTTTACTGCCATTCTCACTTCTCTGATCTTCCAGCAGTAAAGAAAGGGATTCAGAGATGAATTTGAATAGACTAAAGTTGCCGTAAACAGCCAAAGACCTTGAATTGTTGTTCCACTAAGCACTGTATGTCTCAATAATGACACAGTTATGAAAGGGGCATAGCATGCTACTAAAGTCAACTGCAACCAGAATATACTGGAAACTACTTTCTTATATTGTACGATATTCAGTCGAACTCTTTCTTGAATTCTTCGCTTTGGTGATACTTTTGCTGTCCCTGCTCTTAAACTTTTTTCATCCGTCGCTCTTCCTGTGCCTTCTACTTCTGCGCCTGCTTCTTCTTCTGTGTCTCTACCTGCCCCTGTCGTTTCTCCTACTCCTTCCTCTGTGGCTCTTCCTGCCCCTTTCTCTCCTCCACCCACTTCTTCATCTTCGTTTGACTGTCCACCCCCAAAGCTCTCTTCTACTGCAGCCTGATTCCCCTGTAGTCTCAGGTAGATCTTTACGTAGCAAAACACGGAAGTAACTAAAGAAACCAATCCGATCATTAAAACGAAAATCTGTGAAATCGTTTGACTCCAGACGTAAACCAATCCACATGAAACAGCAATTACCCAGCAAAAAAGTACAACAACTTGAGCTCGCTTCAGAGTCACAACCTGTCTGTATTTTAGCCTCAACAACAGGACAAGAAGTCTGTCCACACTGATGGCTGTCGATATCAACACAGACACTCCACACAACACATTACTGGAGATAAAAACAACTTCGTTCATTTGGGACAAAATACCCAAGTCGGTGTTGGCAAGATCAATGTTAAGTATCATATTAGCTACGAACAAAGGCTGTGAAAAAAGACCCACACAAAGGTCGGTAGTTGCCAGACATGCAAACAGGAGCTTTGTCACAGGATGTAGAAAGGAAACTTTATAAAGTGTCAACAGGATCAGAACATTACCCAGAGATGCGATGAAGGAGAGGATAATGTTGAAAGCGAGGAGAGATGTTAGGACACCAATTGGTAATTGTAATGATATGCCTGTAATGTCGGCCATTGGTGTTTACGTTCAGACGTCTGGCTCTGTCTTTCCTTCTTTTTTTCAGCAAATGAACCTTTTACGGACGATAATTATTTGGTATAGGCGTCCTGCCGCAGTGTTGCCCAATCAGCAGTTGCTAGTGGATAAAAATGCTCCACCCTGATGTTTCACTTGACAAATATTGCAGCGTCAATCAGACCTGTTTTTAACTCTTCCGCTTTTTAACTATGTTCTTCTCGTTTTATTAATGTTCAATGAGCTGGTGTCATATTTATTTGATCTGATTTATCATGCAGATTTTCTTACTTATTTTCGCTTGTGTTTTGAAGGGCTTCGTGAACGGTTTTGTATTTCTGATCCGTGTGTTTCTCTGCCCTTCATACCCATGCTCGCTCGTTCTTCATTTTTGTCAACGTAATCAAATCTCGAGCTTTCTAGGTTTGAAAACTAATTTCTCAATGTTTCTCTCTCAACGATAAGACAATTACTCAAATTGATACTTAAAATACTCTGCTGGTGTAGCCTTAGGGTGCTTAGAAAATTTATAAAAGCTATCATCGTTCAGGTGCGTTGTCGACATAAACACATTAGTATAGGTAATCACATGATTTCGAGTGCAATTTGGAATAAATAAGCACGAGTAAATTGCACGAGCCCATAGGGCTAAACACCACACCACTAAACACCACTTTTTCCAAACCGACAACCAAAAAGCAGTGCTTTTTACAGTGTTTTCGTTGTTTGAGCCGTTTTTCAGCTGCGGTGGCGAAAGAAAACCTACTTAAAATGCCGGCCATTGTTTCGCTCGCAAATATTCAAATTTTCAAATTTTCAGATTTTGTTGCAACATCCAAGGCTGGCATGATGAGAATATTAATATTAGAGAGCCTTATGGGGGAACCAGGTAAATTTTATCTTGACATAGCTCAAATCTTCCAGCCCCCCCCCAGCCCCCCCCCCCCCCATGTAATTAAAAGCACGAATTATCAGATCGAAAAAAGGTTCCGCTGGAGCCCGTTTCTCGAAGGTTCCGGTAACTGAACGGACCGCTAAAGCTGTTCTGTTTTCATTCAAGACGGAAGGGGGAAAGTCCAAAAGTCCTTCAGGTTACACCCTCAAACCCCCAGAAGTGATTCACGTATAACTTCTCCCTATAATATTCATACATTATCCAACAAACAGGTAATGTGAACACTCAAACTTATTCGGGTAGAATTTATCGTGGCCGAACACCAAATTCTCGTAACCAATTTATAAGGAAATGTGTAGCAGCTAGAGGAGAGAATTAACGATCAGATGTAGGGAGATACAGGTTTAACCTCGGTCAAAACATGTGCAATCTTTTCCATTTGTATTTTTAAAAATACTGCAAAAGATTCGATTATAAACAGTCTTGTATGACTTATACTTCAACAACATGGAGCGTGCGAAGCATGTACCCTTAGCAATGAGGTCATATTCTTTCATGACAATCCCAGGTTTAAAATTTCTATCAAAACAATAAGGCTTGCTAACGCCGAGCACTTAAGTAAGGGGCTGGTAATTTTACAACAAAGCAATTCTGACAATTTTGGTAAAAACCGGTAAACGAGTAATTTTAAGGTATTTCCAGTGGAACTGAGGCAAATCCATTTGACTTACCACAGGAAAACACACTTTTCTCCATAAATGGAATAAGTGAACATGTAGGGCTAATTTTTTGGTTGCCTGGCTGTCTCACTTTTTATTTCCAGGTCCTCCCTGGTTTCCCACAATAAAGACTTGACGCGAACTTTTTTTAGAAAACCAAATTAAGAACATCGTGGCAGTTTTAGAATTAAGAAACAGTTTGAAACTTCCTTTCCAAGGACCATGTGTGAACTTTTGCAGCCACTGAAATAGTCAACGATTTAGATATATCTTTACTAGTTAACTCAAATTAATTAACCTATCTTCGCCGTTTTGGAGAATAATAATAAAACTTGTATCCCTCTTTCACTGCATCCTCAAATGTTGGAAGGTAACGGGACCTCTTCACAGCATCAAGTACAGCCAGTTCCAGTTTGTGAGCTACACAGTAGATGATGCATAGTGGGTGACCAACTTTATCCTCCTCTGGACACAAACTCTTTACATTTCATTCCATGGCGATAATTATTTCCTATATCTAGACCATTCTTCTCTTGTAGATCACACAAACCCGTCAATTTTTTGAATGCGAGACCTGCCTTTGCCACATAATGAGCAGTATAGAAAAATCTTTTCATTCTTGATTTGGTTTCTTCATCCAGCTTTGCAGATATTGTCTTCATCATTGTTGCAAGGGGTTTGTCTGCATTTTCTTTGTGGACTTTCCATTTGTTCAAGCACTTTCCGTGGTCGCTAGATACGTTATGGGACTGGAGACTTTGTACACGATATTTTCCAAAACCACCAGCACCTTCGTAAAGGGGACTCGATTTATTACAAATGTTTGGATAAGCACGGCATACCTAAATGAAAATGTCAATTGTCAACAGCTATAACAACAAACTGGCTCAGACAAATCCTCGTAACATGTTACAATCAATTGTAAACACAATTATAGCTCAATTTGAAAGGTTATATATGACACCTGATGGTAAGTTCCATAATTCATAAACAACTTTGTATTAAGGGGTTAACCAGAGATCTCGTAAGGGAGAGGTTAGCGGTATGCTTGGGTTGTGGCTTTCTGCGAAAGAGAGTTTCTGTCATTAGCCATAGTCTACGGTATTATACAGTATTGTATTGTAGTCTACACTTTGTGATGGTACCTTTGATTTTTAAAAATTGTGCAAGCTTAACCTAAACACAAAGACTGACTGAGATCAAAATCTTTTATTGCACTTCACATACCTTGCAAAACATTACATCGTTGATGGAATCATGCTCAACCCGAGGATACACTTGATTTTTTAGTGGGACTGAAAGACGCACTGCCTCTTTATTTCATACTTCTCTGTCGATGTTTTGTCATTCCTTTCTTTTCCTTCTGGTGAAGTTTTTAACTGCGCCTTCTCTTCATGAACTGTTTTCTAACTCTTGCTCCCATGTTTTGGTGGATGGCTTTCATCCTCTTCCAAACACTGCTTCTTAACAGATGGAGTACTTTCTTCCTCAGATTGCAGAGAGTAATGTTTTATAAAAATATCACTTATTTTTCGTCGCTTTCTCTTCTGCACCCTATCGCGCTGGTCTTTCTCTAATTCTGTAGTTACTGAGGGCTGTTGTGGTAGATCGCCTTGGATGAGTATTGGTACATATCAGCTTCCGGGGCGGTTGTCTAGGTTGTTATCCTTAGACCAAAGAATCATCGCTGTATTGGCACTAATATCTCGTTACTTTGTACCATAATCTCGTGGCAAAATATCTTTGCGACAAAGAGGACGAGTATTTTTGTTGCATTCAGGATAAAGAGAGAATATTAGCCTGCCAATAACAGTTGAAAGAGCTATCATGTGAATCATTTCGGACAATTTTTTGTCCCGGCATCCAGCAATAGCTTCACCTTTCAAATACTTTAAGCCCTCAATCAGACAAAAACTGGATAAACAAGCTAATCTCTGGAAGACAACAGTCGCTTGCAGCTTCAGGTGAGTTTGGGTGTGTTGCATAGAATGGTGCATTCTTATACAATTCAACAGCAGTTAGAAGCCTTAGTAGTAGGGATAGATCTTCATTTCCGTTTAGAATAATCGAAGCAGAATTATACAGACAGTTCCCATTACTTGTTGCTTTTTTCGACTGTAATTCTTCAGCTTCAAGATTGCTTGGCAAGTCTGTTGGTAGCAGGCTTTTTCCAAGGCTGTCGTTTGATAAATATTTTCATTTGAAATACTCAAGGTTCTGTAACGCTTTGAGTTCAACGCAATATTCACTCCTGATGTCTTCAACTGGTTTTGCTGCGTTGCTCTTGGCGCTGCCACCCTGTAGAATTTTTTCCTAAGTCCACCGAAACACGTGATTAGACATTTAAGAGTTTAGAAACACATTTTTTAAGAAAAAAACACGGCTTTGAAACCGTGAAACCAAAGATTTCAATGGACACACTAAACGACAAAGTCGACAACGCGAAAAGCTGTCAGTGAAAGCGCTTCATTCTTCGATTTGCAGCCAAAAAAAATTTCCCGCCGGAGTATTTCTTAGCAGCTGACAGGGGAGATATTTATATTATTAAAGGGGAAAAATTTGATAGCTTTCATCAGTTTGCTTCTCATTCAAAATTAGTGCATTTAGAAGATCATTTTTCTGAAGAAGGTTTGTTTGGGAGTCGGTTTTTTCAAGATAAGTTTCAAGGTCACGGGAAAGTGCAGAGTCACGGATCAGTGAACAAATAATGAGAACAAAAGTTATGCAAATTTGTGATTCATCTTGTTACAAGTAACCAAAGGTTTTCGGTTTCAAAAGAACAAAAATGCTCGTTCTATTTCTGGCAACTTTTCATCTGAAAGATTTTCGTGAAAAGTGAAACAATACGATGTGGTCTTTATATTTTAATCAACAAACACTTACGTTATTTACCATATCGAAACAAACGTGACCAATATTTGTTAAAACCATAATAAATTTCTTACTGGAGTACAAGATCCTACGATCTGCCGATTAGTACTTCGGGTGCTCTATCACTGAGATGTAGAAGACTCGAGGCAGTTTAGACTGTTTAACTGGGTTCTATTGAACTGTTGTTTAAATATCAACGGTTTGTGTGAGATTCTGGTGTTTTAAGAACACGGAAGTCTTTTCGCATGAATACAGGCAACCTTGAACTACAAACGACAGCAAAACGCCTTGGCTGTATTCTTTACTGCTATCCTAACTTCTCTGATCTTCCAGCAGTAAAGAAAGGGATTCAGAGATGAATTTGAATAAACTAAAGTTGCCGTAAACAGCCAAAGACCATGAATTGTTGTTCCACTAAGCACTGTATGTCTCAATAATGACACAATTATGAAAGGGGCATAGCATGCTACTAAAGTCAACTGCAACCAGAATATACTGGAAACTACTTTCTTATATTGTACGATATTCAGTCGAACTCTTTCTCGAATTCTTCGCTTTGGTGATACTTTTGCTTTCCTTCCTCTTTCACTTCCTTCATCTGTCGCTCTTCCTGTGCCTTCTACTTCTGCGCCTGCTTCTTCTTCTGAGTCTCTACCTGCCCCAGTCGTTGCTTCTGCTTCTTCTTCTGTGTCTCTACCTGCCCCAGTCGTTGCTTCTGCTTCTTCTTCTGTGTCTCTACCTGCCCCAGTCGTTGCTTCTGCTTCTTCTTCTGTGTATCTACCTGCCCCAGTCGTTGCTTCTGCTTCTTCGTCTGTGTCTCTACCTGCCCTCGTTGCTTGCTTCTTCTTCTTCTTCTTCTTCTGTGTCTCTACCTTCCCCCGTCGCTGCTTCTTCTTCTTCTTCTTCTTCTTCTTCTTCTTCTTCTGTGTCTCTACCTGCCCTCGTCGTTGCTTCTGCTTCTTCTCCTGCGGCTCTTCCTTCCCCCGTTGTTAATCCTGTCTCTTCCTCTCCTCCATCCACTTCTTCTCCTTCGCTTGACTGTCCACACCCAGAGTTGTCCTCTCTTGTAGCCTGATTCCTCTGTAGTCTCTGGTGGATCTTTGCGTAGCAAATCACGGAAGTAACTAAAGATACCAAACCAGCCACAAAAACAACAATCTCTGAAACCGTTGGACTCCACACACGAACCAATCCGCATGAAATAGCAATTATCCAGCACAAAAGTATAACAACTTGAGCTCGCTTCTGTGTCACAACCTCTCTGTATCTCGGCCTCAACAACAAGACAAGAAGTCTGTCAACACTGATGGCTGCCGATATCAACACGGACACTCCACACAACAGATAACTGGAGATGTAAATAACCTCGCTCAAGTGGTAAAAAATATCCAGGTCGGTGTTGGCAAGATCAATGTTAAGTATTATGTTTGCTACGAACAAAGGCTGTGTAAAGAGACCCACGCAAAGGTCGGTTGTGGCCAGGCATGCAAACAGGAGCTTTGTCACAGGATGCAGAGAGGAAACTTTATAAATTGTCAACAGGATCAGAACATTACCCAGAGATGCAGTGAAGGAGAGGATAATGTTGAAGGCTAGGAGAGATGTTAGGACGCCAATTGGTAATTGTGATGACGTGCCTGTAATGTTGGCCATTGGTGTTTACGTTCAGACGTCTGGCTCTATCCTTCCGCCTTTTTTCAGTAAATGAACCTTTCACGGACGATAACTTTTCGGTTTCAGCGTCCTGTTGCAGTGTTGCCAAATTAGCAGTTGCTATTGGATAAAAAGGCTCCTCCCATCGACTGATGTTTCAGTTTACAACTGTTACAGCGTCAATCAGACCTGTTTTCAACTCTTCCGCTTTTTAACTGTGTTCTTGGCGTTTTATTAATGTTCAATGAGCAGGTGTCATATTGATTTAATATGATTTGTTATGCAGATTTTCAGGCCTGTTCTCAACTCTCCCGCTTTTTATCAGAAATACAAAACCGTTGACGAACCCTAGCAGACTGGGGAATAATTGAACACTGACAAGCTATAATTTCCCTCGCAGAGTCGAAAACTTAATTACGATGTAAATAGGAGTCTGCAGCGTTCAAAGAAAGTCGTGTCCGATAGCCCTGGGGTTAGTGGATTCTGCGATCGGGCTGGTGAATTCTGTGCTTAACTTGCCCGCAGGGAAAGTGAAGATTTTTCGGGGTATTAAAAGTACAGAGGTACTATAAGACAAATGTTTTAAATTCCTAATAAGTTCATGCGGACCGAAAGTCGCTCTGACGAAGTGAAATCTGCAAAAATAAGACGAAGTATCGCAATGCATGTCAGACGAGACATGTTGAAATCCCGTGCATGAAGTAAAAACACATATTCATAAAAACTTTGGATGTAAATGCTGCCTATGACTAATTCTTACTTATTCAGAGAAAGCTATTTGTCTAAATTTTGCTTCATAATCATTTTGTAAGGAACATAAACAAAAGGTTTTGATCTTGTACGCCAGTGAGAAATTTATTATGGTTCCAGCAAATATCGGTCAAGTCTATTTCAATATGGTAAATATCGTAAGTATTTGTTGATTAAAATATAAAGACCACATCGCATTGTTTTCACTTTTCACGAAAATCTTTCAGATGAAAAGTTGCCAGAAATAAAACGAACATTTTGTTCTTTTGAAACCGAAAACCTTTGGTTACTTGTAACAAGATGAACCACAAATTTGAATAAATTTTGTTCTCATTATTTGTTCACTGATCCGTGACTCTGCACTTTCCCGTGACCTTTACACTTGACTTGAAAAAACCGACTCCCAAACAAACCTTCTTCAGAAAAATGATCATCTAAATGCACTACTTTTGAATGAGAAGCAAACTGATGAAAGATATCAAATTTTATTCCCTTTAATAATATAAATATCTCCCCTGTCAGCTGCTAAGAAATACTGAGGCGAGAGGGCGCAGTTAAAAGCTTCACCAGAAGGAAAAGAAAGGAATGACAAAACAACGACAGAGAAGTACGTAATAAAGAGGCAGCGCGTCTTTCAGTCCCACTAAAAAAACAAGTGTATCATCGGGCTGAGCATGATTCCATCAACGATGTGATGTTTTGTAAGGTATGTGAAGTGCAATAAAAGATTTTGATCTCAGTCAGTCTTTGTGTTTAGGTTAAGCTTGCACAATTTTTAAAAATCAAAGGCACCATCACAAAGTGTAGACTACAATACAATGTCGTACAATACCGTAGACTATGGCTAATGACAGAAACTCTCTTTCGCAGAAAGCCACAACCCAAGCATACCGCTAACCTCTCCCTTACGAGACCTCTGGTTAGCCCCTTAATACAAAGTTGTTTATGAATTATGGAACTTACCATCAGGCGTCATATATAACCTTTCAAACTGAGCTATAATTGTGTTCACAATTGAGTGTAACATGTTACGAGGATTTGTCTGAGCCAGTTTGTTGTTATAGCTGTTGACAATTGACATTTTCATCTAGGAATGCCGTGCTTATCCAAACATTTGTGATAAATCAAGTCCCCTTTACGAAGGTGCTGGTGGTTTTGGAAAATATCGGGTACAAAGTCTCCAGTACCATAACATATCTAGCGACCACGGAAAGTGCTTGAACAAATGGAAAGTCGACAAAGAAAATGCAGACAAACCCCTTGCAACAATGATGAAGACAATATCTGCAAAACCGGATGAAGAAACCAAATCAAGAATGGAAAGATTGTTCAATACTGCTCATTATGTGGCAAAGGAAGTTCTCGCATTCAAAAATTTCACGGGTTTGTGTGATCTACAAGAGAAGAATGGTCTAAATATAGGAAATAATTATCGCAATAGAATGAAATGTAAAGAGTTTGTGTCCAGAGGAGGATAAAGTTGGTCACCCACTATGCATCATTTACTGTATAGCTCACAAACTGGAACTGGCCGTACTTGATGCTGTGAAGAGGTGCCCTTACCTTCCAACATTTGAGGATACAGTGAAAGAGGGATACAAGTTTTATTATATTCTCCAAAACGACGAAGAGAGATTTCCAATATAATCGATGAAGATGCGGTCTATTACAGCGGTCTGCAGAAGACGAGGTGGCTGGCAAGCAGCTACCGCGCTATTACTACCTTGGAGAAGCACTATGTCACTACTGTTATGCACCTGCAGCATAAAACTGGATCCACTGGTGAAGATGGGGCACGTGCCAAGGGAATTCTGAAACAACTACTATCCGAGAGGTTTGTCGTTTGCCATATAACAGTAGTTGTAGCTCCTTGAAATCTAGTATGGACAAGACAGAGTTATCGCAAGACAAAGGGGCTAGTCCTTTCTGTAACATCATGATATTCTAAACTGGTCAATGAAATAAATTCTTGAAAATATTCGAGGTACGCAGCTGAAAAAAAGTAATTGCATGCTTTAAATGTATGGATGGAGAAGATAGCATCGACCCGATGACATAACACTCTTCCTCGATTGAAAACGCCGCCTGCGTACGGACTGAGGGGCACGCGTACTCGGATGTTTCTAATTGTAACTGTCAAAAGGTTTCAAAAGAAAATATTGTTTTTAACTTCACTGAACACGATTTAATCAGTCCATTCTCCCGTTTTTAGAGTAACTTAAGCAAAGACACGACATATCGAACTAAATCATGATCTAACCTAACGGAAATGTTTTTTTTTTATTTACTTGCAATCGTTAAATACATATTAGATTACTGGTTCCAAGTAGAAAGCGGAAAAAATCTTAATCAATTACTTTAAGTATGTTATTTTAAACGATAAATACTAATGGATGTTAGTTCTTCTTCCTCCTGGTAAAGGATAAAAATTCTACATAACTCCTATTTACATGGTAATTAAGTTTTCGACTCTGCGAGGGAAATTATAGCTTGTCAGTATTCGATTATTCCCCAGTCTGCTATGATATTGAATTGTAGACGATGGTTATCTTTGAAGTCTGTTAGTTAAGTGAGAGATGATGAACCTACGATCTACCGATTAGTAAACTTCGGGTGCTCTACCACTGAGATATAGAAGACTCGAGGCAGCATAGGCTGTTTAACTAGGTTCTACTGAACTGTTATTTAAGTATCAACGGTACGGTTTGTGTGAGATTCTGGTGTTTTAAGGACACGGAAGTCTTTTCGCATGAATACAGGCAACCTTTGTGAACTACAAACGACAGCAAAACGTCTTGGCTGTATTCTTTACTGCTATCCTAACTTCTCTGATCTTCCAGCAGTAAAGAAAGGGATTCAGAGATGAATTTGAGTAAACTAAAGTTGCTGTAAACAGCCAAACACCATGAATTGTTGTTCCACTGAGCACTGTATGTCTCAATAGTGACACGATTATGAAAGGGGCATAGCATGCCACTAAAGTCAACTGCAACCAGAATATACTGGAAACTACTTTCTTATATTGTGTGATATTCAATCGAACTCTTTCTTGAATTCTTCGCTTTTGTGATACTTTTGCTGTCTCTGCTCTTACACTTCTTTCATCTGTCGCTCTTCCTGTGCCTTCTACTCCTGCGCCTGTTTCTTCTTCTGTATCTCTACCTGCTCCTGTTGTTTCTCCTACTCCGTCCTCTGCAGCTCTTTCTACCCCTTCCTCTCCTTCACCCACTTTTTCTCCTGCGTTTGACTGTCCACCCACAGAGCTGTCCTCTACTGTAGCCTGATTTCCCTGTAGTCTTAGGTGGATCTTTACGTAGCAAAGCACAGAAGTAACTAAAGATACCAAACCGGCCACAAAAACAACAATCTCTGAAACTGTTTGACTCCACACACGAACCAATCCACATGAAACAGCAATTACCCAGCATAAAAGTATAACAACTTGAGCTCGCCTCAATGTCACAACCTGTCTGTATTTTAGCCTCAACAACAGGACAAGAAGTCTGTCAACACTGATGGCTGTCGATATCAACACGGACACTCCACACAACACATAACTGGAGATATAAACAACTTCGTCCACGTAGTACAAAATATCCAAGTCGGTGTTGCCGAGATCAATGTTAAGTATTATATCAGCTACGAACAGTGGCTGCGAAAAAAGACCCACACAAAGGTCGGTAGTTGCCAGACATGCAAACAGGAGCTTTGTCACAGGATGCAGAGAGGAAACTTTATAGAGTGTCAGCAGGATCAGAACATTACCTAGAGATGCGGTAAAGGAGAGGATAATGTTGAAAGCTAGGAGAGATGTTAGGACACCAATTGGTAATTGTGATGAGGGCCCTGTAATGTTGGCCATTGGTGTTTACGTTCAGACATCTGGCTTTGTCTTTCCTTGTTTTTTCAGTAAATGAACCTTTTACTGACGATAACTATTCGGTATAGGCGTCCTGTCGCAGCGTGTTGCTCAATCAGAGGTTGCTATTGGATAAAAAGGCTCCACTCGTCGCCTGATGTTTCACTTGACAAATATTGCAGCGTCAATCAGACCTGTTTTCAACTCTTCCGCTTTTAACTATATTCTTGGCGTTTTATTAAATGTTCAATGAGCAGGTGTCATATTGATTTGAAATGATTTATTATGCAGAATTTCTTAATTATTTTCGCTTGTGTTTTGAAGGGCTTCGTCAATGGTTTTGCATTTTTAATCCGTATGTTTCTCTGCCCTTCATACCCATGCTCACTCGTTCTTCATTTTTGTCAACGCAATAAAATCTCGAGTTTTCAAGGTTTGAAAACTAATTTCTCAACGATAAGACAATTACTCAAATTAATACTTAAAATACTCTGCTGGTGTAGCCTTAGGGTGCTTAGCAAATTTATAAAAGCTATCATCGTTTAGGTGTTTTGTCGACATAAACATATTAAGTCGGAAAGCTGATAATTGAGCAGAAAAAAACAAACAAACAAACAAACAAAACAATACAAAAAAATAGTAAAATTGTCATATTTGCACTACCTGTCGGAAGTATGTGTATCGTTTATTTTTTTAAGGGCCAGTCATTTTTTGTCGCCTTGGGGGTGGGGTGAAGGATTTTTGGGAGAACACATGGCTCGAGGGGGGACACGGGGGGGGAGAATCAGTTGTCGCCAAAAGAGTATAAAGAGGGACTATAGAAAATTAACTGCCGATGGGGAGGGCTGAAGGGGGAGGATGATGAGAATATCAGAGAGCCTTATGGGGGAATCAGGTAAATTTTATCTGACGCAGCTCAAATCCTCCTCCATGCAACTCTTACCTTTCCTTAGCCAACAGTTAGTTTTGAGAGTTTTGTTGCATTTTTGATGGAAGTGGGTGAATCTTTCATCGCCTGATGCTGCTTTCCGAACGGACCCAAAGAATTGGAGAACGAAGTCAGGAACTTTGATCCAACTCTCGCTTTCAAGACTACAGTACTAATTTGATCAAAGGACATAGGAAACGAACTTTTTACTGCAATTGTCGTTCAAAACAAGACAGACCTAAACCCATGTAATTAAAAGCGCTTTTTCCTTGTTTGTAGTGTCATTGCAACGCTGTTGTAAAATTACTTATAAAATGTATTTGCATTTATCAATGCATCTCGCCAAGAAGAACACCTAAGCATTTGCTTGGGATTTTTACCTCTCGCTCACAGTTCCCGTAGCCTCCCCGCGCGGCACACATAAAATGCCAAGAGCCATGGTGGTTGAGGGTGAGTATTTTCTTATTTCAAGCTTTTTCTTATGAGGTTTCGATTAGAGCACGTTAGATCGAAAAAAGGTCCCGCTGGAGCCCGTTTCTCGAAGGTTCCGGTAACTGAACGGACCCCTGAAGCTGTTCTGTTTTCTGTTTTTAAGAACATCCTGGCAGTTTGAGAATTAAGAAACCCTGAAACTTCCTTTCCAATGACCACGAGTGAACTTTTCTAGCGAATGAAATAGTCAACGATTTTGATATATGATTACTAGGAAAGTGTCTCTAAAACCACCACTTTTTTTTATCAAAGGTTTACATATCATTTAATTACATACATTGTACATTCATTTCAATCTATGATCTACTAATACAGTGCACCAAATTTTCCACATATCACAATCATGCAATAACAACGTAACACAAATCAGGTATGACAATAAATCTATTTCTCTGTGGAAAAATGTCAAGATATGTAACAATATTTCCCCCACCCACTAATACAGACGAATGAAATGCTACAAAATTTTATGACAACTGACATTTTTCCATGCAGGAGACTTGGGTAAAAATTGTGCCATCCTTCACAGTAAACACCGTACACTGACGTAATACAGAGGAAGCAATTACTTTTTCCAGCTGCGTGCCTCAATTATTTTCAAGAATTTATTTCATTGGCCAGTGTAGAATATATCAGGTTGTTACAGAAAGGACTAGCACCGTTGTCTTGCGGTAAATCTGTCTTATCCATACTAGATTTCAAGGAGCTACAACTACTGTTTCATGGTGTTCAACAGGCACAGTCCTTTGAGTTAGGTTTGTTGTCATTTGAGAGTCTTATTTGGTCTGGGAAATCATTGTATAATTCAACCTCTGTCTCTTGAGCAAGAGCATTTTTAGCAATGGTCTGGAAAGCTTGCTCCACATTGATGGCTTCTTTGGCACTGGTCTCAAAGTATGGAATGTCATTCTTTGAGTGGCACCAAGCTTGTGCGCGTTTGGCCATGACCTGAAAAAGTGGTTTTCAAACATTAGAACTTGGTCTTAGTCTCTTAGCCTCTAGTTAACACTTAACAAGTGACCAAGACAGAATTTTTCCTTACAATATCAATACAATATCAAGCAGGTAGGTGATGAGAACAGAGAAGAATACCAATCATGGGATTATTAGTTGATCCAATACCAAATTCTCTCAGCTAACATCATAAGATTTGTATGGCAGACAGTAAGGAGAATTACTTACTAGATCTTGGGAGTGAAAGGGTTAAAAAGCTTTACTACAGGTATTCTCGTAGCCTTTTTTGTACAATAGAACTTATTAGAATTGTCAAGTAAATCACTTCTGGGAGGTGACTGGTTTAAAGCTTCCTATTCTTCTCTAATCCTGATGTAAGGTTGATGTCCTTCCAAACCTCCCATGCTTAAAAGAATGACCATCAAACCTTTTTCTGAAGAAGTACTGAGTGCTCAATCTTATACAGTCAAACCTTTATTAAGCAGTCACCCCCAGAAATTGTAGAAGTGAGCACTAAATATTACTTGGCCACTTCATATTGGTTCCACAGAATTGAAGTCTTATAAAAAATGCCATTTGATGCCATAATTGACCACTTAATGTACAAAAACTCCCTCAGAAATATTACAAAAATTGATTTCAGGAGAGAAATGATTTAAATAGTATTCTTAGTTTTATTTGAGAAGTTTCACTTTAAGTTACTATTCAATACAGTTGGAAGACTACAGAAACAGGCCGTTGGGACTCACTCTAAGCTGACCACGACTGCATGACAAAGGTGACTGCTTGATAGATGTGAAAATTAGAGTTTCACTTTAAGTAACTATTCATTACAGTTGGAAGACTACAGAAACAGGCCATTGGGACTCACTCCAAGGTGACCATGACTGCATGACAGAGGTGACTGCTTGATAAATGTGAAAATTACAGCTATAAGGGGGAAAAAATTTGGAACTTTGGCCATTGGCTGCTTAATGTAGGGTGAACACTTTAAACAATTGTCCAAATTGCTAAACCAAACCAACACCATACATATAAATCCCACAAACCGCTCTAATTTTCATTTGTCATTTTCTAATTCAGATAAACATACTCTGTCAAGACTCACACTCACCACTCTGTTTTCCAAGTCAATTTTGTTTCCTAAGACCACAAAAGGAAAGTTTTCAGGATCACGTGGGCTGGCTTGAATAAGGAACTCATCTCTCCAACTGTCTAGTGTCTTGAATGTTGTCGGTTGAGTCACATCAAAGACCAGGACACAACAGTCTGCACCTCGATAAAATGCCACTCCCAAGCTTTGAAATCTCTCTTGTCCAGCTGTGTCCCATATCTTGACAGAAAAATAATAAGAATAAAAAAGTTTAAGGTACAATCCAGTAAAGTGCTTTGCACATGAGGGGCATAAAGAAAGTTTCAATGTCAGAGCCACATCCATTATTCATTACACTGCACATGTATGTAAGCTGAATCATTTATGCCTTTTGATTGGGTCTGACTTACGATCTGAATGAGAACAGATGCATTGATGAAACAAATAGATTCCATTTCAGAATGGAAATGTTGTTCCTACTACATTTTGACATCATCTGTGATCTATTGCTGAACAGGTGCATGGCAACATGGAATCTCTCTGTTAAATTGATTTATGCACCACAAGATAGAGGAGGGGGTTAGGGCAGGGAGGCAAATTCTAACCTGCAACCTTTGCTGCAGATAAGCAAAGATTTCCCACAATTGGGGAATGGACCCCCTACTTCAACACAATGTTCAAAGAACTCTTCAAATGGAATACAAGGGCACAACTAGCAATCTTAGAATTATAGTGCTTAACTGTCAAACTCCCACGCATGAATAAAACATGCATTTCTCCTTAAAATATCCATACATTATCTGACAAAAAGGTAATGGGAATACTGAAACTTATCAGCTAGAAGATGTTATCTTGATCTACTACAAAATTCTTGATCTACCACCAAATTCTTGATACTAGTTTGTCAGTAAACGTGTGGTAGCTTGAGGGGAAAATTAACTGTCAAATCTCGGGATGTAAAGGCTAAGTCAAATCATTGATTAAACAGTTTTCCATACAGCACAGAAAGTTGCAAGTCCAAGATAAAATGCAAAGGAACTGAATCTTCTCACCTGCATTGTAACTAGCCTGTCATCTACCATGACTTCTTTTGTGAGGAAGTCAGCTCCAATTGTCGCCTTGTATTGATTACTAAATTTTTTGTTGACATACTGGTTCATAAGTGATGTCTTTCCAACCCTTCAAAGCAAGAACCACAAGAAAATTAATATTACCATTGCCCTACATCGTCTAAACTATTCCCTTTTCAGGACTTAGCAAACACAGATACAAATGTTCCAAGCCGACGAATCAACTCACTTATGAAAGAGATCTTCATGTGCTTAAGTAGACAGACACTACTGATGATCCATTGTGATGGTTATCAAGTTTATTTAACATCTAGGGATTATTCAAAAATATTCACTAAGCCTGAGGCAAGTACCTTATTTACTCATGTATAAGTCGCACTTGTGTAAAAGTCAACCCCCCCCTATTTAAGTTCAAAAATTGGATTTTTCATCATTTCTTGTCAAAGAAGTAAAATTCTGACAGATAGAAATTTCCCAAAAGCTAACCTCCTGTTTCTGGGAATGTATTGAAAACATGGGGAAATTAAAAAACTGCAGAGAAAAATGTAACAGTGTGCTTTGAAGTTTATCAGCACCTGTTTATATCACCACAATTTAAGCACACACAAGCACCTCCATTTATTGGAGAAGTATTTTACCATATTTTGTAAATCGTATTGAAAATGAAACCCTCTTGTATTTAACTAACCTTTATCTTAATGTTGAGTTTGAAAGGGGATTAAGTAAACTGAAGCAACACCAAAGAGCTTCAAAGGATCACATGTACCATAATTTCCAGCTGTTTACCCGCAGGTAATCTGTTGATTTTGCATTAAATGCGCACCACTGTGGGTAATAGGGAGGTGTGGGTTATGTGACAATTTTAAAACCTACTGGTAGTTGAATTGAAAACAATTATCACCAACATGCGTGTCCACCTCTCCAATGAATTTTTTTGTATTAAGAGTGCCACAAAGCAGCATGAAAACATGATGCTGACTTGACTTTATTTCACACATAATTAGTTGCATGACGAACAAATTGCTATTGGCACGCGTGAAAACAAAACCTTGATGGTGACAAAAATAATCCAAACTATCTGGCACATCAGTTACAAATTTCCATTTAACACTAGCTTGAGCTAAAGAGAATTTTCTCATTTTAAGGGACTTGTTAAGCCCATTAGAACCAGAGATATCAATTTTGTTCAGAAATCGCTGACAGTACCTTATAATTAAAGTTTTAACACTCACCCAGCTTTCTTTCAACAAATCAACATGGCGCTGAATGATTGCTTGCACAAACGTTGAGATTTGGGCATGGGTTGCTACTGTTTACTGTATAATTTTATCAATATAATAAAGTACAAACTAACATTGACACAGAATTGTGCACAAGTCTGAATTTCTTTGACCTTTAAACTAGACTAGGACGCTTTCAAGTTTTCTAAAGTTAGATGACAACTTTTAAAAGACTGAAATGTATCACCTTAATGTCACATTTTCTTGCTTTTGAAAGGACTACTTTCCGAAGGACAATTTTTTGGTTGAGGAAAACCACTGTTGTTTTATCATTGAAATCCATACACAGCACTAAGTGATAAGCGTTAGGGGCAAAAACATTACATGATAAGAAAATTATTAAGAATAATTTTCCTTACCCACTATCACCCAAGATAATGACTTTCAGAAGAACCTTCTTTCTTGATGCCATGCTAAACCTTTGAAAAATAAGACAAAACCTTGATCAAAATAGGAATTGTTGTAGCCTGAGGAATAACCTTCTATAACAAATTCTCCAAACTAAAATTACAAGAATTGACAGGCAGACTGTAAGAAGAGTTCACAGTGAGATCTTGGGGGTTCAAGAGTTAGGTCACAGAGTTATGTTCCTTGGAAAGACACTACCCTCCTAGTGTGCTTTTCTTCACCCAATGAGCATCAACATAGAGACTGTTCAGCTCCTCTCCAATGGTCTCATGGTTTGTGGTGAGTTGTGTCCAATAGCTATGAAACTCACTACTTAAACAACTGAGTCACAGTCAATTATTTAAAAAAAGCTCTCTCCTTATCTCTAGCTTGTGACTACATCTCAACCCTAATAAAGGGGTAAGTTTCTAAAGAAACTGTGTGACTGTTAACAACTGGGTTGAAAACGTAAATCTAAAAAGCCCTGCCTACTAACCCTGCCTACCAACTGCATCACAATTAGAATGTATGGCAATATGTTAAGTACCACCTTCCCACAGTTAGAATGCATGACAATCTGTAAAGTACCATTGAAAACTAAAAAATTTCCTTACATTTTCCAGCAGAAGATGCACCCTAACCTCCCTTTCCCCACCCCCCATATGGGCTTGTGCTTTTGACAATAAAAATTATAAGCTGTTCACTTAATGTACCCAACCATTTGCTTAATTTATAACTGATGACCATGTGGACTAGCGTCAAATCCACAGGAAAAGCAATTCTACATGTTTCTTCATACGTAAGAAGAACAATTGTCTGTGAAACACATGTAAGACACAGAACACCCTGTGGTGCATATTTGAAGCTGGCTGAAAGATGTCATGGCACCACAAACTTGATTAAATTGATTCTTTGTCTGCTTCCCAAATACTGTCATGGCAAAACAAAGGTGATTCAAATTTTGTCTGGTCTGCTGCCAGAATACTAGAGGTACACCCAATCTTTGCACTAAAATTTTTTTTTAATAAAATCTTCTTTAGAAAAGTCATTTCATACCATTCACACACAGTGAGCTACACTAAAAGAACACTCCACAAATTCTCTAAGACTCAACTTGCTACATGACCCAGTAATGTTTACAGAAGAATTATAGCTATCTTTGATACTTAGCAGTAGATTTGTTCCATAATTTAAAAATTTCATTAAATGAAAATCCGTAATGAAATTTTCCAAATTGAGAAGATGAGGCTCAGATTCAAGTCATCAAATTTGGTGTTACAACTTTTCTTCAACTGAATATCGATTTCATGTTGGACAAAAAGGAATAAACGGGACAAGGAAAACTCACAGAGTTATTCCGGTAATTCGGCTACAAAACGAAACTAGTTTTTAAGGTCCGGTTGAAATATATTGCACTTTGCCCTAAACAGTTTTAAGTACATATCCCACAGTTTGATAATCAAACACAATAAAACAACCATTTACAACCAATTATAATCAAAAGAAACGTGTATAAACCGAACAAAACTACAGGATAACTCCCCTGTGCTCATATTGACACAACCACTGTTCAACTTGATGTCGGATTACGAAATATAGATAGCAATTTCAGATTTTCAGGAACGAGAATTGCTTCGTTTACATTCTCTATTTTCTCACATAAAGTACAAAACAAGGCAGAAAAGTTCTCACATTAATAGTGGCGTGAAACGATGCGGTCAAAAGGTAATCGTTCGGGTATATCATGCCGACGTTTAAGCGAAATGTCACTAGCCGAGTCCTCCGCCATTTTTCCCTTCCATCGTTGCGACTAGAAATCTCGCTTCGTGCAAAGATCTTCGGCATAAAAATCAAGCAGTAGTTCGCATAAGGTAAACAACAACTCAAGACGTTAGTGCATAACTAAATCTAGTCATTAAAACTGTTGTACTCACCGGATTTCAAGAAACAAACCGTTAAATGGTCAGTTGCGACACACTACCTGAGCGTAATATGGCGGAGCCCTGAAACATAGGTCTCGTGACTTCACTACAATCTATATTTCATGTTACGTCATGCCCAGCCTCGTTCTCATACACATCCAATATGGCGCCGAAAGCTATCCGGAAAGCCATTCCGTCTAAAAACGGTGGATTTGCAGCAGTGAAAGATTTTGTAGCTGACTTTTACAAAAATCCTATGAAATGGTAAGCGTATTGAAGCTTATGTAATCGTTATTTTCTCTTTATCTAGTGATGTGACCGTAAGAAACGGCTTGAAGTAATAAGCAAGGAATGTTCACGAGGAAAGCACGTTTTGTGGTCGAGCTATGTGCGTCTCCGGCCTGTTTTGTTTGAGTGGGTTTTGCGGGTCACGACGCGGCCATTATCACGCGACCTGGATAAGGGCCGAACTTTTGGTTGAATAGCGTGTAAGGAAAATGTTAAATTATATGTAATTTTGACGATGGGTAATTGTCAAATTTCTCCATTTTGAATTGCGGATGACTGAGCGGTGCGATGTATTCTTTGATAAATCTTTTAAATCGCATCTTTTTCCCAGCCAATGAGAAAGCAACACTTAAACAAAACAGCCGATCAGATTTCAGATTTCCAGCCAATGAGAAAGCAACATTGAAACAAAATAGCCAATCAAATTTCAAGGCTTGTTCTTGGAAGGCCAGCATGATCACCAAGGGCACTATGCCATCCTGGAAGCAGGGGGGTGGGGAGGGGGTGTGAAAGGTGAAGTCTCTCTTTCTCCTTCTTACCATTTAAAACTAGGGTAATCTTTTGTGTAAGCCAGAAATGGATCGTATTCTTGGTCCCTGATGTATAAAGGTCACATGACATGCACTACTTTATCTGCCAGTAGTGTGATCTAACTTTTGAACAACCAGGGCCAGGAGTATTGATATTCCTTAAATGGGGATGATGGAACAAGACTTCAGTTACATGAGGGAAGATGTGAGGGAGGCTAAGTGGTAGGTTTCAGAGGTGGAAGTTTCTGGATGTGAGGTCATGTTTTTTTGGCCAACCCCACCCCCTCCCCTTTCATAAAACCAGCATGGTTGGAAAGGACACCATTTATTCCAAGATTGGAGGGGAGGGCATTCCATTTTCCCTTACATTGTTTTTAGGTAAAAAGTCTTTCTATAATGCATTAAGAACTAAGAACTTGCTGCCTCTCATTGATTCCACAAAGATTTTCATTTGTTTTTTTTTTTTAACAAGCTGAGTTAATATCAGAAAATACATCTCACTCCTATTCTTTTCCTTATTCAAGGCAGCTGATAAAACACACTGCAATATTCATCCTAGCTGTGGCAGCTGCAAGAGAACTTTCAGACATTGATCTCATGGCCCCTGTTCCTCCTCCTTCATAGAGCCACAGGTAAGCATGCAATAGTTTTGGAACTTTTCACATACATAATAAGGTGGATTCTGCACTTGAGCCAAGTGCCCTATGTAACTGCCACTCATTCCAGTTTCTGCAGCATGAAGCAACAAGAAGTCTCACTACTCTCTCCCTGAATGGGATGCTAGTCCATTGCAGGTTACCCCCCGCATTTCAACTGCTTTCTCTGACAGTTTGCAGATACTTGCACCCAATTCTGGGTGGAGAGAGAGAGAGAGACAGTGAGAGAATAAATAAATCCGATCGCGCCATAATGTGGTGGCACAAGTTGTGTAAGCCACACAAAAAGTATTTTGAGCAAGTACACAACACAATAACCCAATCTGTCTCAAACCTTGACCTTCCAACCAGCATGTTGGCCAATAAGCCAACCAGTCCCAGAAGCTTCATGAAAAAAACTCTGAAAATGTTGAGTTGTTGTAAAATGAGACTTCTAGGACAAGGCGAAGCCAAGGATAAAAAGTGGTCAGGGTCAAGCCTAGACCACTTTTTCATACAGTACTTACCCTTTAACATCTTCCCGAACTCTTATTTTACAGCTGCAACTACTACTACTACTACTGAGACAAGCTCAGAAATCTCATGTCATAATTTTTTTGGAAAAAGTTATGACATATTAACTTGTAAACCTTCAGTATCAGAACGAATTTCAATAAATTCAACCATACAACAGGAACTTCTGTCAAAAATATTGTATCTTGAGAGTTTTATTAAAAATTTTTTTGGTGGATGCATCCTTGATTTCAAAATTTATTTTCTTGCATAATATACTATATATTTTAGATTTTAGAAGATTTATCTGAGGATAATTTCACCTTAGTTTATCTTTATAGTTAATCATATTCAGAATATCAAACAGATAAGTGACCAGAATAGAGAAAATCCATCAATTGGGTTGGGATAATTTGTTGATGTCTCTTCAACTCTTTAACTAAATTCTCTGAATATTAAACATCAAACAGATATATGAATAGAGAAAAATATCAATTTGGGGATGGTTGATCCAATTAAATTTCAAATTTGATCAGTTAGGAGAGTTTCAAATTTGATCAGGGAGTTAAAGAGTTAATTTCTCTTTCAAAGTCCTAGTTTCATCACTTTTTTTTATCTTCATTTCCGATCTCCTTTGGGATCTCTCCATTCTCGAAATTTTTTCATTCTCAAAATTTTTTTTTTTTTTCTCAAAAAACTTTTTTTATCTTCATTTCCGATCTCCTTTGGGATCTCTCCATTCTCAATATTTTCTAATACTCTTCAAATACAGTCTTATAATTATTCAACTCTCTGTCCATCTGACTGATGTCCATAATTTCAAGGTTATGTATTGCTTGATTCATTTCAAATTTGTGTGATTCAACAACTTTGATTGAGTTTTGAATTTTTTCACAGACTCTTTGAAATCTCATGGTAAGTTCCTCTAAAAAAGGCATCTTTCATTGTATGAAAACCAAAAAACCAAAACCCAAAAAATAGCCAACTTTTCTACTACACGGTTTAATAATGGACAAAAAAATAAATCAATCATAAATCAATCAGCTGATACCTTGAATACTAAGCATATATTTAGTCGAGTTGAATTTGCATGTCGTTTGTAAGAATAATATTCAACCTGTTCAATGTCTTTTGAAATGCAAATCTGATTTCATTATGTTTACAAGTGATCTGATTTCTTTTTGGTACTCTTCCTTTATCTGTTTTTTGAAGGGCCTGGACGTCAACCTTAGATAAGCTTCTTGCTTAATTTCTCAGCTGCTTTTCAGTGAATAATTCTGCTCAATCTCTAGCAAAATTGAGTTGAACTCAATATCAGAGATAGAATTATTATCCATTGCCTTTGAAGTTAACCTGCATACTGACAGGTGCTTTGCCTCAGAAATTGAAATTGTTCTTTCAATTTTTGTAATTTTCTTATTGAGTCTTTTGCCCCCAGCAGTAAATGCTGTTGATATAAAAACAAACAAGCCAGTTAAATTAACCATGGGTGCCCCAACAATCATCCCAATTCCACTCAGGGAAACTGCCAGACCGCTTGTTGAAAATACAGCTGACGTTACTCCTATCACAGTGAATGTTGCGAGACGAACGGATCTAATTTTCTTTAATTTGCCAAGGACACGTCGTTAACGAGTAATTTCATTCTTAAGCTCCTTTTGACCATCACAAATCCTCTTCAACCAGAAATCATCTGGTATTATTAGATAAAGTTGTGGTGCACTTGGTAATATGTTTTGATCAGTCATTTTTAAATCATTAAATTGTTTAAAACTCCAACCTCAAAGGAAGGCCTTTGAAATCAATGATCTTATTCCTGTCACGCGAACCCTCATTGATGTGATATAATACGTTATTATTATTGCACTTTACCACGATGAGCAAGCACAACCTTTTTTACGAATTGTAATTCCTTGTAGATATTTTTCGCTGGATTGGTGTTTCCTAATAACAATTAACCCTACCTAAGGGCTGCCCGACGATGTCGAAGCATCCAATAACGCTTGAGGGCTCTCCACTGAATAGGTTTTCGTCATTGTGAAAGAGATCAGAGTGGACAAGGTTGTTGTTAAATGTGGTAAACTTTTGGATTGATGATTTGTAGTCGTCGCTATATGCCAAGAAGATTAGCCATATCATTGTCAAGAATTACTGAAACTGACATACTTTTCTCATTTACAAAGACACTCTTTGGACAGAAGAACAAATCAAGGCACACCACGACTTCTTCATAAGAAGATACAATATTGATGCTGATCCTGTCATATGATTGAATTTATCGAAATTCGTTCTGATACGGAAGATTGACAAGTTGATTTGTCATAATTTTTTTTTAGAAAAAAATTATGGCATGAGATTTCCGAGCTTGTCTTAGTAGTAATAGTTATAAAATAAGAGTTCTGGGAGAAGTTAAAGGTGTTAGGAACTGTACGATACGTTAATTATTCCTAAGTTGATAGACATTTATAAGTGATTTCGTTAATCTATACATAACCAAACAAACACGTATGCGACACGTGTTTTATCGCCCCATATATGGCACTGTTCCACGTGCCTACTACGGGATGTTTTGTGTGTGTTTCCTTCGAATAAGCCGAGAGTTGTGAGTGGGAGTTAACCGAAGCGTTGTAGTAAAATTGCCAAATCAGGTGAATACATCGTGAGTAAATAAGGAGGTGTGGTACAGCCTTTTTCACGTTTTCGTCAAGGGTAAGTATGAAAAAGTGCTCTTGGCTTGACCCGGACCACTTATTATCCTTGGTTTTGCTTTGTCCAAGAACCCTCATTTTACAAGTACTTGTTTTTCTTATTTTCAGGTCACAACCACCCCTTACTTGTTTAAGTATCTGATGGAAGGCGTTTCAGACAGATTCAGCAAGACGTACCCATGTCAACGAACAAACAATTCTTTTTTGTGTGAATATAGAGGGTTCAATGCTGTAACACATCTAATAAAAGTTTCCAATTTGTGATACACAGATCTCTAAAGCTTAGTCAGTGGATGAAAATGCTAGGTGATTGGAAGTTCTGAGGTCAGAATCTTTAGGGGGTATTTCTCTCTCTTAACCCTTAAACTGCCATGAGTGACTAAGACAGAATTTCTCTTTACCATGTCAGTACAATATCAAGCAGACAAGTGACGAGAATTTTAAAAAAATTTAATTAGGAGATTATCAGTTGATCCAATTCAAAATTCTCCAAATTAACATACAGTCATACAAATTTAAAGCTCGCCTCTAAAAGCTTGTAATTTCTTTTAGACCTGGTTGCTTCAGTAGTAAATTAGAAATTGCTTTTATTGCTAGTGGAGTTATGCAGCAGAAAGGCTTTTGTGTTGCAAAAATGTTCGCGTGATGTGTGTTCCTTGCTAAGGTCTGTTAGAGGCGTCCAGTTTGTTAAACGGAGCGATACAGTAGATGGCGCGATAGCAATGGAGGAGAGAAAAAAAGGGGGAGGCTTGGGTCGGGCTACAATCTGCAACCCGACCCAAGCCTCTCTCGTTTCTTTACTTCTAATTTCGCGCAGCTTACGGACTGAACGCCCGGAACAGGTTATCCTTACTATAGCTCGAGAGCGACTAAATATTGACATCTGAAAGGTAGCTAGTTTGCGTGGTATGCAGCCTTTTGTTTGCAATCTGGACGGAAAACTAGACAAACCACTCAAAGCTCCACCGCTGCTTTTTAGCGGGTCCGCCGCCTTTATTTTCACCAAGTACCTACAAAAAATTAAAAGCTATCGAGGATGGGCAAGAAACGGATCACTGGGAACAAGCGCTAACATGACTTAGGGGTTTTCAGATACTGCGGTTCCCCCTATCAGCCTTCTCCCTTTTCTACAGCTTGCATAACAGGCGTACAGGTAGGGATAAAGGGGGACCCTAAGCGTTCCAATATCCTAATTTCGTGCCTGACTCGATTTATGCGTTCGCATCGCGCTTGTAGGCTCTGTTCGCCCATAAAGAAGCCGGGAAAAAAATCTGGGCGCACCTTTGGCGCACTGATTATTGATCTTAGGTTTCTAAAACGAACTAGCTGTACCTGAGTACCAAAGACAGAAAAGCCTTTAATAATACTAAAAATAGTAATAATAATACTAAAAATAACAGATAGAAAAGAAAAAAAAGCTAAAATATGGTCAAAAAGAGGTTAACATGTTGATAAATATCAGCTAAAAATTTTTACTTCCGAAAGACGTTTTCAAACAACCGTTTTACGATCGACTTTCTCAGTCAAAATCTGGCAATGTGTAAGAATTATATGCTTCTTTATCAGCCTACAGTTTAAAAGCTTTCGGTCTCCTTGGTATGCCTGCCTGCGCATGCTCGGCTGTATTTTTAGCTGACCAGCGTTTGAACCAAACGATTACCATAATCGTGACCCAAATCAGGACAATAGCTGCAAAGCTCGTCACACACAGCACTATTATCATGGTCGAGGAAAGCTCGTCTTCTTCCACCTCCGTCTGATCATCATCATCCTTTGACTTTTGATCTAGAAAACGCGAGAAAAGATTAATTTCTTCGACGGAAGCAGGATTGTTGAGAGCAAGGCCGGAGTAGGGGTGTAAGATCGTGGGTGAAGATTGGAGCAGAGAACACTGAAAATGTACACACCTTTTCCATCATCTTGCTCTTTGACCAAATAAGGACCAACAACGAGAGAGAACGTGTTGGATCCTGGGTCGTATTTATAATCAGACTCCTCTTCCACACTCCTCCTCTTCCTGGATCCTCCATTCGAACCTGCTGTACAATTGTTACAGCGGTCAGTGCACAACGAGGCATTGGCTTTTTCAAGACAGACGATGACGTCACAGAAGAAAAAGACGAAATCAGTCGGGGAATTCAGAATGCGGAAGGCGTCTATCTGGAAATCCTGAATGGTTGAATTGGCACAGTCGTAGTCCAGAGTCTCGTCTTTGCCATTATTGCAGCTGTTTCGAAACGGAAGAAAAATATGAAAGTTTTCACTTCGTAAAAGTGATGAGTTGGCGATATATTTAAACTGAAGATAATGAAGATTTATTTTTAATTAATTAATTTTATTAATAATTTAATTTTTTCTTAATTTATTAATAATAATTTATTAAAGACCGATAGATATATGGTTGGAATACACCACAATGTGGCCAGCATCTTATTACGATCACTTCTAGTGCCCAAAAGGATTTAAGAAATGATAATTATTTCGACAACCTGCTTATAATAATTTCACTGGAGTGCCAAAAGTAATTCTGAATTGGTTTTGCTTCACCTCGCTCTGTGATTGGTTAGGAATATTCACACCATTCTTTGAACCAATCAGATTCCAAACCAAAAGGAATTGAGACCACGTCACCCGCGTTTTCTCCAACTTCAGACCGTTTAAATAATCGATGTAGTTACTTTTAGTTCTCCTCGGCCTTTCGTAATACTTTCTTTGTTCTGATTTACTGTTGGGATCAGTTTGGTCTCGGTTTTGCGGAACTTAATCGAAATGCTCTATAGGGCGACTGGATCAATATCAGTATCTGGGCAACTGCCCACCTACCCCTCCCTTAACTCAAAAATAGTCGATTGATAACAAGTTAGGGTTAATGTTGGGTTAGGGGAGGGGTAGGTGGGCAGTTGCCCAGTTACTGATATTGATCCCTGCACCTTACCGTTGTTAGAAACCAGATTTTCATTCCCCGACGATTGCCAGATTATTGAGGTTCCCTTGTGTACACGAATAAATTTGACGAGTCAAAAAATAGTCGATTTAATGTTCAGGTACAACCTTCTAAACGTAGACTTGGTATTACTGGGAATATCAGTTGTTATATACTCATTCAATGTGGTTTTTACCCTTTTTCGAGAAATTCGTGCGATCCAGTAAAATCCTGGTTTCTTGCCCAGCATTTGTCGAGATGAAGAATCAAAGCTGAATCGGCTGACAAAACTTGTACTCTGAAGTGTAACGGGGTTCCGGGTATTACGGGAAGGTCTCGGTTTAACTTGCGGGTCCTTTCTGCGTCACTGAATACTTTCATTTCAAACGAAAATTTCCCATACACTGAAATAAATACATGCAAAGTGATTAAATAATATTTACGAAAATTTCTTGCAAACCCGAAGGGTACAATTGGCGATCAGGGAGGCATTCAGATAAACAGCGTGGCTGACTGACAGACATAAAGATAGACACACAGACACAGGGACAGACAAACACATAGACAGACAGACATATTAAAAGAGGGGGTAAGTTTCTAAAGAAACTGTGACGCTGCGTGGGTGTGAGAATATATCAAGATAATTTTGTATTATCAGCTGAGTTGATAACGTAAATTGGCCACCGTAAAGAGTTTCAAAGCTGACGAAAGCGCAGGACGAAGGGCTAAAAATTTCGAGACGTCAGCTTTGAAACTCTTTACGGTGGCCAATTTACAACTCAGTTGATAAAACCAACCTTTTCATGAGACAGACATGTTGACTGACTGACATACAGTCTGACAAACAGACAGGCAGACTCACTGATACTGAGATAGACAGCTAAACCGACGTCGAAAATCAGTCAGATCGACTGCCTGACACACCGATAGAAAGACAGACACATAGACGGGCTGACAGACAAACAGACCGACTGCAAAACAGATGCACTTAAACTTAATAGCAGCAAGCAGACGCAATTTGAGAAATAAGTGGACCAGAAGCAATTTACAGCGCAAACTAACTCACGTCATACCTGTTTGACTGACGGTGATTTCCTGCTCAGGCGTTATGGAAACAGATACAGAACCATTACGATCATACCTGCAGATGATACGAGACTCAAAATCGTACTTGCGCGTTTGCAGCTGATTCCCAACAGGTTTTGGACTCCATTTTACAGCATTGGAGAACTCAATGTAATCGGGATTCGAGCCATCCCGAGTCGTTCCGCAGTCATTTAGAGGTATATCGAACCTGGCGTGGGTTGCATTGTTATCCGTAACTTTGCAGTTGGTATCGATGAGATGCATTTCGGAGACAACTAGATCAGGATTTTTAGTTAAGTTCACTACTATCCTCATTTCGGTTGGAAAACACGACGAAACTGACCCCAAATCTGGTAAAAAAATTAATTGGAAGAGGACAAATTGTTATTCATTAATCTATATTAATATAATTTTTTTTTCATATAATTAGTTCTAATCTTTGAGGAAATTTCCGTGAAAGGTTCCAGTTATTGGCAGGTAACGTCAGTCATAATTTATCGCTGGAAAGTAAGGAAGGGGTGGGGGGTTGGGCAGAGGATTTGGGGGAGTCACATGTTTTTTACAGGGGGAAGGGAAGGGAAGGGAGATCAGTCGTCGCCAACAAAGTATGCAGGGAGGACTATACAATTGAATGCCAATTAACTGGAAATGAGGGGGGAGGGGGTCACATCACAGTGCGGATCTCCCTCTTCGGCCCCCCCCCTCGTTCAGGTACCGGTCCTTAATGTTGAAAAACCAAACTTTTCAACAGTTTTTTTCCTAAGGCTGTACCCAATTTATTCTGGAGGTGCTCATTATTCTGAGGCAAAAAAAAGGGGAAAAATTGAATTTCTTAGAAGGTGAGTAGCAAGCTACTAACCATTGGCAAACGCTTCGTCTTGCTTGGAGGTAAATAAAATGGCAAGAAGGAAACTTCCTGTGATGAGTCTCATTTCTCCAGTGCTTTTAAGTTGTAGCTTTTGGGGACGTAATCTGAAAAGGAGTAGGTATAGTAATAAATGTTGCGTATCAGGTTGAGACAGGTTGTTTGAAACAAAATTATGTTAGCTAGCACCTGTAACGGAAAATTTTGTAGGTTTATCAGTTTTTTGGATCGAGGAAAATTCAAAAAAGATAACTTTCTGTAAGAAAAATCCCTGGCGCTAAAAAAACCGTAAAAATTTTGCGAGGTAACCAAGAACATTACAATGGGGCGTAAAAAAATTTGACTTCGTTTTAACCCGTTTAATCCCAAGATCTCGTTAGTAATTCTCCTCACTGTCCGCCACACACCTCTTATGATATTAGTTCTGAGAATTTGGCTTTGTATGAGCTAAAAATCCCTCAATTGATAATTTTCTTTATTCTCATCACGTGTCTGTTTGATGTTGTATCGAGATTGTAAGGAGAAATTCTGATTCGGTCACTCATAAAAATGAGTGGTTTAATTGCGTCTTTCACTGAATACAAACTTAGCCAGAGAAGGGTTGGTTTCTGAAGAAACTGTGGTTCTGTGTCGGTGGGCGGTAGTACAAGACAATTGGGTTTTAACTGACTGTAAATATGTGAAAATCATATATGTGAACTGCGGATAAAGAAATGAATTAGAAGCGATCTTCACGGTTAACTCTACTTAAGCAGTAATATTTGGGGTTTATTACATGAGTTGATAATTTAAATCCGCCATAGTAAAGAGTTTCTAAAGCTGGCGTTTCGGAATGTTGGCTCTTTGTCGGAACGAAACTCGAAACTTCAGCTCCAAGAACCGCTCTTTACGGCGGACAATTTACATCATAGGTTGGTGTCTGGTTGATATGGGGTGCACTTAATACAGACCGATTTAAACTGTAGTTGTGTATTCAGCTTTTTCTCTCTTGAGACTCGGATAAACCAAACGCAGACTAACAAACGCTTGTGCCTAAGAGAATTATACGACAGCTTTAAATTAAAAGATATTCGGTCATCTTAGACGAAACGTACTTACCAAAAATTATATGTTTCTATTCAACTTATTGTGATTCGGGCAACCCATGACGACGAACAAATAGTTGAAAAAAGAATGCATATTCGAAGCCTCTCGATGATTCAAACGATGACTTTATGTCGTAAATGCGAGCAGTATGATGCTCAAGAATCTACTTGTAAAGGTCTCCAAAACTAATGTTGTTAAATCACTGGCGCTTAGACAGTGTCTTAAGTTAATATCTGGTGTAATTTTTCAATTCAGTTAGTGTTATTGTTGTTGTTGTTTTTTTGATCTTGAGTTTAATAAGGAAAAAACAAAATTGTTGAAATAGTTTTGCATATTCAAGCAATTTAAAGAATTGTCGAGAACAATGAAACCAAGGTTACAGAACAACTTAACGCTACAGTTGCGCTGAGCTGGTTGTTTTTTTCTCCTTTTTAGAGCAAACGTTCTCCAAAGTTAACTTTAAAATTGTTAACTATGAATTAAATGAACGGAATAGGTTACAAACTTGAACAATAAGAGACGACGCGTTTAAATCATATCGGGCAAAATCAAACAGTTACGTGGGCGCGATTGAGGCCGGAAAAAAATTTTAGACTGACTTAATTGAGTAACTTAATTCTGTTAATAAATTAAATTCTTTATCTACAAACACAAAATTTTTTCTCCATTCTGGTGAACATTCTCAAAAAAATATTTCTTAACCGGGAAATTAATATACAAGACGCAAAGAACTGCTAAAACTGGCGAGGGTTTCCAATGAAGCATACTCCGAGCATTAGAGAAACTCTGAACGTTATATAAACACACTTGCACCAGTAAGCACGTATATTTTTGACAGTTTCGAAGATTGCTTTTCCATGAAGAGAGGTATTATAGAAGAAACATTTTTTTGAAAAACTTGCCTCATTGTTTATGGCAGTGAATTTCTGAGAGTGAATTTAGAGAGTTTTTGGTGCACAATTGGCTACCTGCTGTTTCATCGACTCAAAGGAACATACGTAAGTGGGGCAGCGAAATCAATAAATATTATGATTTATTTAGTGAAGGAATCTTTTTCAAAGAAGCGAAAATCTCTGACTTTCTTTCTACAAATGATGTCGTGTTCAAAAGTTAGTTCAAAGTCGCTTCGGTCGTCCTTTTATGTCAACTTTACATCCAATTAATTAAAAACCGACATGCAAATTCAAGTCTTGTCAGGACTCTGTCAGTTCATATCAGGAGCAAGGGCATCTCGTAACAATGTTCCCATTCGTTCCTTGCCTTAGCAGCGCTTTAATTACCTTCCCCCAAAGCTACTATGGAGCATTTCCGAGTAAAATTTTCGGTTTTCGATCATTTTATCGACAAGAATGCCTGCTATGCTTACCAAGTCAGGCCTAACATTCAAATAACAAGTATCTTTCCGTTTTACCTCGCCTTTGATAAACAAAACCAATATTTCGTCCAAAACTTGAGCGGTTTCTTTAACACCTCTGTCGATGATAGCAGTAAAGTGATTTTGTTGTATTATTTTTCAGGTCAGTCTCTTCCCTAATTGCTGAAACATGAATAAAACAATTCGTGACTTACCACGCGTTATTTTTCCAATGACTGCTTTCCAAACACTGCGTCAACAAGTACCTCTTCGATTCACACCTTACATTCCCACTTTATTTGCCTAGTTTACGGGTAAAGCAAAATTTCGCTCAGTTTGTGTTGTTCCCGCAACAGCAGTGTCAACTATTCCCCAAAATATCACAAGTGTTTATTGCTCGAGGATATGGTTGAACTCTCAAAATATGATTGGTGTATTTGCCGTGAAACAAAAGCTCGCATTTTTAATAAACACGTCAAGAGACAAGTACTCGAAGTTTCGCTGTGTGCATGCAATTAGTTCAAATTCATTGACTCTCAAGGTTAAAAAAGATTCTTCAAGAGTTCACTGCGATCTTCAACTTGGACTGAAAATGGTATTTTAACTCCAAAACGAAGTGATAAAAACAGTCCCTTTTTATCAGCTGATATAATTAAAATCACGTTTGCAAATTAAACCTCAAATTAAGCAGAACTCGTTTATTCTTATAACTCTAGCGCGGTACAAAGGGCTCGATGGTCACACTACAAATCTGATACAAAGAATTCGGCCGAAATGACTCACGAGATATCTGAATCTTGCCCAACTTAACATTATTCGTCAGCATCCCTCACGTTATTTTACATCTGTTGAGTAAAGCCAAAATTTGGAAGAATTATTTGAGTCTTCGATTCAAGGAGTGTGTGAAATGAAGCGTAAAGCAACTTTTGTTGAGAGGTCTATTTCTCCTTGTTTTTCGCTCGCAACTACAACAATTTGAAAGGAGAATCTAGCAGTCTATCAGAAAACACTGGTGGTTTTTTTTTCTCTTTCATACACACTCTCGAACAGTGATTTCTCACTTTGTGTCGGCTGATAGTAATGAAATGACACTAGGTAAAAAACATTCTCTCTTCTTGCACCAGGCAGATTTGGAGAGAGGTGTTCGTTGGAAAGAACCCCCACGAGCCCAAGCGGTAATTTTTCCCACTCTTAATACGCCACCAACAGTATCTTTGGAACGTCTGTTTCGTCAATCCAGTGGGCGTCGCTTCCTATTGATATATTTATTCGATGACTAGAATCGTTATTGCCATTAATTCTATACATTGATTTAAAAACGTTCGGTTATTATGTTTAAATCAGTTTTCCAGTAGAATCGAAGTCAGTGAGACAGATGTTATTTTGTTGTTATTTTTCTGTCTCTAAATCCGCTTACCTGGAGAATCTGCTAACCTGTAAAGCGAGACTATTGTAACGACCCGCCCTAGAAGTAAGTTTGCGCTGAAGTTTTTGAATTTAGCTACGAGGTAAAGACTTCATTTGCGTTTGTTCTGATTGCGAATTATAAATGTATTTCTCTTAGATCGAATAATTAATAATGGTGGTCATTTGAGCTCACCAGTTCCAAGTAGGAAAACAATTTCATCGACTTTTTTAGGGGATTCGGTTGTTCATCTAATTGTGAACTTTTTCCTCTTAGAAATTAGAATCCAGGATTTTGACCTATAATTTCAAGTGTTGAGCGCATTCTGATCGAGTGTCATAACGCCAAAACTAAGGGTAATGACAGAGCCAAACAGGGCAAAGAAAGACATCAAAGAGAGTTGATGAGGACTTAACGTAAAATCAAGCAAAGACCAAGAAACTGCCTGACCCCCCTCGCTTTTTATGAGATAATTTTTATCATAGTCCAAGTTTGCGGAAACGGGCGAATTTGAAATGCACACGGTATAAATCTTTTCCAGTGCTAAATAAGCTATCTGGTGGTTCCTCTTGCCACATGAATATGAGCTCCCTGATACACGATTTAGATCAGCGGTATAAGCCTCTTCACCTAAGATACGCGGGAATTTATACCGGTGAACTTCCCCAGTTTCCCCCCCCCCCCTTTCCTCCGTCCAAAAAAGCTCGTCTGTGACCCTGTATGTAGAAAAAAAATAAGCACTCTTATTAAATTAAAACCAGTTCCTACTACAAGCCCTAGACTTGATTTAACTCAATCGCCCCGGTTTCCTCACTGAGCTCGCGCAGGCCATCTGACTACTCATGAAAGAGACTGGGTCGGAACCACTTGCGCGCGTCACCATTCCATACTAACCCTGCGTCATCCCTAATCGTCTCCTCTGTTTATGATGTGGCCACTGGGTCGCGAGAGATTAGCGCTATTAAAACTAAAGAAACGACTGGGAACGAGTCAGTCACAGCCATTTCCTCTTTCCTGATATATCTTGTAAATTTTCCAAGTAAAGGGAACTATGAAACTATCAACCCTTAAATCTGTCACTTAAACTTGCCTTCTTCAGGCGAGCTTAAGAGCAGTAGTATGAACGCAAGTCCAAATGCTTTCCATCTAAAAACATGCAGACACGCCATAGTCGTCTTCTAAGCTTTTAAGCTTGTCAATTCGAACTTAAATAGCTTTAAGATTTATTGAAAAATTTGAATGGTACATTTTTGCAGTTACACCTAAAACTTGTCAAAAATGGACCTATCTGCTCAATTAAGGTTATTTTCGTTTCACTCGCGTCAGTGAGATGCTGGAAAACGAAAATCTTTAGCCTGGTATTCACATGTTCCAACTTGTTTAAGCTTAAAACATTTTGCGTTTCCTACCCAGATTCTCGCAAACGCAAGGTGTAAGTAAAATCTGGGTATATTGATCCTTGTTCCAGACCCCTCAGCTTAGCCAACGGCCGCGCTTTTCGGAATCAAGGAAAGATCTTTTTAATTTATGGAAAAGTTCAATTGAATATTGCCTTATCTTAGGGTTATAAATGCTGATGTGTAAATGTTCATATAAATAGGAAACAAGTGATCGCATTCGTAAACTAACGCTTGTTCATAAGCTTTTCCTTTGTCTCGAGAACATTTTTCTCGATCTTAGAATCTCCTCCTCCCCAGTTTTCCCACTATCAGGATCGGCCGAACTCGGTAAGTAGCTGGACTGGGCGTTAAAAAGCCCAGATCTTAAACGATTATTATGATCATGGTCATCGTCGCTTTTAGCTCTGCAGTGTAAATTAATAAATCAATTCCAATTTTCATATCAGTCAATAAATCAACCAGAATGCCGGGCAATAGCTGAAGAGGTCTGGGTTCGAACCCAAGTCGACTCATTGAATTTGTGTTGTGATCTTAATGCGCCATCTGGCAGCGCGTCTCTTCACCCAGAAGTATGAAGGGGTACTGGTGAACTGTCTGGAAAATTCTATAAATTGGAGGGAGAAGGGGGTGAAGTTTCTTACGATCGACTGGCATCTGGCCCAAGGGGGTAGGGGTAACTGAAACCCTTGTCGTCTCTTGCCTTCGAAACCACGGCGATGTCCGTTGATGTAAGCTGTTTTGGTTTTAAGACTTTGATCAGCAAATAATACACTAAAATTAAAATTTTACCACTTTCTTTAAGCTTGATATGCCCACTAGCTTTGCCATGTGTAGGATATCGGCAGCTGATGTGAGCTATATATCCCTTTATTCGAGTTTGAAGGACTCCTTCTGAGGCCTCCGGGGTCCAATGTACCGCATTCGAGAACAGTAAATACTCAGGGTTCGATCCGTCTCCATGTGTTCCGCAGCCATCTATCGGTATGTCGAACACAGCAAAGGTTTCGTTGAGATCTGTTGCTTTGCAGTTGGGATCGTTCAGGTGCATTTTTTCAGCTATCAGAGGAGGATATTTGGTCAAGTTCACCTCAACTCTCATTATCCCGGTCTGAAGACATGAAATAAATGCCCCCAAATCTAACGTGAAAAGAAGATGTAAGCAGTTAAATATTCAGGGGAAAGGAATCTTGTATGAATTGAAATTTTAGGGACAAAAAACTTAAGGTGGGACTTAACCTAAAAAAGACCCCTTTTTTCAATGACTTGTCACATCCACAGTTTTTAGTTAAACCATATAAAACCATATATCACTGAAAAGCTAATGAATCACAGATTTCAGTTTTTTCAATTATTTCTGCACACAGTTTATTTGTAACCTGATACCAGCAAAATATTGTTACCCCATACTGTGCACAACCCACATGTACTCTAGAAAAGAAATCTTGATATGGAATGCAGCTAGCTCTGATTTGTTTTTATAACTATATAGTATATAGGCTAATCATGGGGATGAGCATAGAGTTTTAAAAAATATAAAAAACTTTGGTTCCAGCCTCCAGTTAAAGTAAAGCAAAATTTTTGGGGTGAATTTCCACCACAATTTTCTTTGTAACTTTTGACAAAGTAAAGCTACAGAAAAACCCTTTGCTCATTCCCAGACACTCTTTGAAAGCAATAAACATTGAAAATTTCAAGTCAATTGGTTAAATCCTCTATGAGATATGTTTTCTAGAATGCGCAAAATGCACATTTTGAGAAAAGTGCGATTAAAGTTAAAAAGCTAAAACGAAGATTGTCTGCACAAATTTGCATGGCTATGAACTATCCAATATCATAGCAAATGTTTCTTTCAGTCACTTAGAAGCCTCCAGGTTCATAGGTATCACCATCAGCCTCCCGTAGGGCATCTTCTCTGCGTGTGCGCCTCATTTGCTCTCCTTGCCGGCGCTTCTTTTCTTTAGCAGAGGTCTGAAGGTCCGATTTTCTCAACCGCCTCTTGTCCTTTTCTTCTGAGGCCTTCTGAGTGTACTCCCCTGCTGGAATTACCAGTCTCTGCATTATTCTTGCTCTGCTGGCAGCTCCACTATGAAAATGGCACACAGTAGAAGCAACTGCACATCTAATCACCTTGGCACCATGATGCTTGTGTTTTGGGCAGCGTGCCCACACCAGTCCGTTGATGCATTCATTGCGATTTTGGGTGGCGCCACGCACACACCTTTGAAGCAGCTTAGTTTCACTAAGTGTGATGAATGTTGGCTTCAGCAGTTCAAAGAACACTTCAGGCAAACAGTCACCTGCTTCATAAGTATTTGTTCCAGTAGCACAATCTTGTTGCCATTTACACCAGGAATCCTCACCAACAGGGCAGAAGCGATGTTGTTTAGCAGCATCTTGTGACTGGACACTGTGATGGAGGATGGCAATGATATTTTTCTTCATGGTGTAAACAACAACATCAACCTCTCTTTCTGTTAGGTTTGCTTTAGTTAGGGTGTTTTGTCTAATGGCTAGACCATAGTACTTCTGAAGGCGTTTAATGCGGCTCTCAGTCAGTCGGCCCCGTCCTCCAATGGGTTTGCCATCTGCAAGTTTACCTTTGGTTCTTGCTTTAAGATTAAGTAGGTGCTTGCCCATGCGTTTTTGCACGTGCCCAACACAATCCAGTTTTTCCACCTTGCAGTCATCGCCATATATATTCTCCACAGTATTGAATGCCTTACTGTCTCCGTCAGAAACCATCCATTTATACCTTATTTTATGCAGTTCCACAGATCTACTCCAAACAACTATGGCACCCTCAGCTTCCATTGCAGGTGAGCTTCCATTAAAATTAATGTCACACTCATTGGAAGCAAGATGCTCAATCTGCCATGCTTGAACTCCTCGTCAGTTTGACACTGAGACCTTTTCATGGTACATTTCCGGCATTCTTTTGAAAGGACATGATAGTCAAGAACCTCTCCAGTGTCTACAGATATAACAAAAAAACAACTCCAGTCAGAGAGGTAAACCCCTTTTTTCGCCCATGTACCATCAAACGAAACGGCTGCATCGACTACATCATCATTGACTTCATCTCCACTTTCCTTCAGGATGTACTCATGAACTCTTATCCCTGCCTGTGTCATTTCATCTTTGGCTTCAGCTTCTAAAGCCTCAAGTATTGTGTCTACTTGTCTGTAATAAGCAGGTAGTGATAGACATGGCATGTTCATGATGCTGCAAAAGGTTACTAGCCCTTCATAGCCACCTCCTGTCTCCAGAGAATGATAGACTGCACGACGATTTACGTCAAAAGATTGCCCTTTCTTTGTTATTGTATCTGATGTTTTCAATGGTGTAGCTTCAAGGCAGGAGCTACACTCCACAGAGAGGTCTGCCATTAGCCCATTTCTCCCAGAAGAATTCTCCTTCAGAGTTAAACTCCCTAGAACATAATAACAGTATACACTAAAGTTATTTTGTGCATTCTCATACATGTATATGAGTCACAAAATTTATTCACCACATACCACACAACAGACAGTTACAACTGTAATTTTTAATAAATGAAAACAATAAAGATAGTACTGAAGAGAAAAAAAAAAAAACATTCTTAGAGAAAAAAATGGAAACTGCACACTGTTACTAGCATATGCTACGAGACATGAACAGTAAAGAAAAGGTTAAAAGTAAAACAGATGTTCACTTATGTTTTCTCACCTTCCTCGCACACATGTGCTTCAGACAACGTGGCATATAATTTCTTGAGGTCTACAAGTCTGTATCCCTCTCCCTGAAAATCATTTACATCAGAAATCTTTGATGAACTATCTGGTGAATCTTCTGGTCTCATTTTGAGTCTCGAAGCACTGATGGAAGCACTTTCGGCATCTGACAGAGCCTCATCACACGAGGAACTCGATGCTGAGTTTGTGACTTCTCTATCCGCACGCGGCATTTTCTTCGCTTTCCTTGCGTATCTCTGCACTCCAGTAAAAGGCTTTCCTTTCCGCTTTCTTCTATATACAGTATTCTTCTTCCCTCCTGGCATTTTAGACAAAAACTTCGCTGATATAAAACTCGAATCTCGCTCTCACAGTATCTCCACAGTTGAAAACACGCCAGCTTTCAATCCCACGCCACCTCCGACTAGCTATACTTCATGTAAGGGGTCATATAGCTTCCTCTTGAAAATACTGAGGAAATTCTAGGAATTGGATGGACTTTCGGGCTTCAAATTGGAGCAAGACTGAAAGATGCTACGTTGCGTTGCCATGGTAACCAAAAATATTTTTTTTACTAGCTTGCAGAAAACTTATCGTAGGCAACAAAATAAAGCAAATTAGTCTTAAAAACTCATGTCATGGCTTTCTTCTATGCCTGAAGTTTCAGATTTCTCCAAAAACAAAAATTGCATTTTGTAGTCAAATTTTAGGTTAAGTCCCACCTTAACCTCTTAATGTCCAAGAGTACCATACGGAACAAGATGCCATTATATACTCAATATTTAATCATTTTATCTGAAACTTCCACCACCGAAAGGTCATTGAAGAACTTTACATTGAAGGTATACAATCTATCAACTTTTGGAACTTTTTGTCTTTGTACTGTGTTGGTCTACGTGATATCTCACAACGTGATATCTCACAACGTGATATCCCACAACGTGATATCTCACGTGATATCTCGCAACGTGATATCTCACAACGCGATATCTCGCAACGTGATATCTCACAACAATCAATACTCCTAGAGCTGCAATTTAAGCTATAGTTTAGTGGTATACCCTATACGTACGAGGCAAACGACAAATTTCCTCAGGTAATAAAGGTTAAAGCATATGCAATCAGTGGTCGGTGTCAGACTGACAGTGCTCAGTTGCACTTTTATGTCATCGCACAACAAGTGTGAGGTCATTGGTTCAAATTTCTTCAAAGTTCTTAACTATTTCTTTTTTTTCTCCACCACTGCAAGGATCATCTCATCATTTCTAGAAATGATGTTCTCTTAGTTATTTCAAATCCTGCGGCAAGAACGCAGGCCCTTAATCTTCCTTGCCTAGAAGTGATGAATCGTATTCATTTTTTGTCAATTATCGATGCGCAAAGGACTAACCTTCAGTTAATGCTTCATCTAGTTGGAGGCCAAGGATTAGGAAGAGGAAAAGTCTCGTAACATGTATCATTTCTTCACTTCTTCGTTCTCGATCAAAACCAGACAGTGGTTTTGAACCTTGCACCTTTAGAAAAACAAAAGATAATTAAAAACCAATTCCTATTATTGAAGAAATGCGTTTCCTTTAAAAGTCTTAAATACACCGGGATGAGACGGGAATAGTTTGGTGATAGCAATTATTTCTCCTCCTCTTTTGCCCGAGTCAATTCACGACGTGAACAGTGCTTTCAAACTTTAAATCTTCAGTACACAAAAGGGATACGTCACTGACGGAACCAAGACAAACTGCAAGTTTGGAATGGAAAACAGAATAAATCATCTAAATAAGAGTTTGCTAGAGAAAGGGATCTAGGGCATTGAACTGACTGACATAAGATTTCTTGAAACTTGCAGGCGCAAACAGCTGACCGAAGTCGATTACGAGCCAAAAATAAAAAAACCTCCCCTTCCCTCCCCTCCCCCTCTCAGACACATGCGCCATTCTTATAGATTGGAAAACGACGTTTTTAATTTTTAAACGAAAAAGGTGTCTGTCATATTTTATCGCCTGTGGGGGGAGAGGGTTGGTGTTCTTAATTCCCCTAAGGCTCTTTATTATTCCAATGACCTCCTTCCCCTTATTGGTAGTCAATTTTCTATACTCTCCCATTTATACTCAACGACTGACTGATTCCCCCCCTCGTTCCCTCTGCCATGTGATTCCATCAAAATCCTCCGACATTCAGTTGGAGACTACTACTTTACGCATGGATGCTTCTGTCATGATCGAAAGCATTGTTCAAATGTGGATGGCATGTCAAACCAAAAAAAAAGAAAAAGGCAGCTTTCATGCAAAGTATCCTCAAACATCATGTTTGAATCAGTCTAAACCGTTCATACTTGCGCATGCAGCGAAAAACCTACTTACCACAACCAAACTAGATTACAAGGTTGAGCGGTCAGCTGCCACAAATGTTATTCCATTTAACCACAAGATGCCGGCTAATTAGGTTCGCGAAAAACGTTTTGATTAAAATTCAATTAACTCTCCTGAGGTTAACTTCATGACCTTGTCTCAGCTCATGTTTCAACATGTCCTTAAAAACCTTTTTTAAGAGCTCCAAAATTTGCATAAGTGCGTTAAGTGTTACAGAATGAACTTACACGAAACCGTAAGAAATGTTCCAACCATCTTTTTTTATGTTAAATTATATCGCTAAAGGTTCTCTTTAATATCACTTGGCACTCTTTTTGATTTACTGGAAGGTGTTGTAATATCGTGTAAAATCTTGTTCTTGGTGGCACCTTTATTGTTAATCATGAATGAAGTAAATGAAGAGTAAACACCAACTGGTCTTTCGTAATGTCTTACTCTGAAAGGTCACTATGAATCCCAAACGTTGTGATCCTTTAATAACCATACAAAATGGCGTGGTAATGAATTTATATTGTGATAGCTAGCGGAAGATTTAGGGAAAATAACTATGCAGATGACAACACTAGGATTCTAACCACGCAAAAGTGAAGTCTTAGCAGCACTTTGTATGCGTTCTACCACGTTCCCATCACATGGACTAACAAACAAACCAGCACAGTTGGTAGGCCATACAAATGCAACCGAACGAAGCCGAACGCATCCGGACAAACTGCAAGGTTTACGGTTCGAGTCCCTGCTGGGGAAATATTCTTTTTAGTAACTGCATCACCGTGAGAGATCTTTATTTCCTTCACCCCTTGTTTAGGAACTTGCTATCTCTCAAGTTCGAACCTTTCAATTAAAAAGAAATTGTAAAACGCGAAGCGTGAAAAAAATTAAACCAATGACAGAAACGTTCTTCAGAACAGTGATAAAAGCCGGTGAAAAGCTGAAGTTTATACTGACGAAGTCTCTATATGCGTCACGGATGATTCATCATGAGGTATTAACTGGAATTAAAATTCAGCCCAACACAACAGTTTCCTCATTCGCAGTCCATACAACTCTTATGATGTTGACCAATTTTAATTGCTTTCAGATTAACACCACATTAGTTTTTTCCTTCCAAACTCCTTAATACGTATGTTCTTCAGGTAAAATTTCCGTAAAACAAATCTGTTTTCCCAATGGCAATGTATTGTCTTTGTCATTATTTTCTCTATCTAAGAACTGAATGCATAATGTTGTATGGAACTGTGCGGAAATTTTACCGTTTTTCACTTTAAAATGACCAGATAAATCAGTAAAGACTTCGTGTAGTTCACATATTTTGACCGCCGATACGAACGAATACAAGCGCTTGTCCCACTTACCTAACTGATAGTAAACAAGTTGCAAACGAGTTTCCATGCGAAATAAAACCACAATGGACATTACTGATCCTAGCAGGGAGTAGAATTAACGTTTGAAGCGTAAAACTATGGTAAACCATGATAAATAAACAAAGGAAGTGAGTTTCTAGAGAAACTGTGGTGCTGCGTCAGTGGGAATTAAGTGTAAAACCAAGGTCAACCATGATAAGTGAACAAAGGAAGTAAGCCGTTTAAACTGTGGTGCTGCGTCGGTGGTAGAATATAACAGGGAAATATAGTATTATTAACTGGGTTGATAATGTAAATTGGCCACCTTCTAGAGTTTAAAAGCTGACGTTTCGAGCGTTAGCCCTTCGTCAGAGCGAATGATTACGTTATCAACTCAGTTGATAATACTAAATCACCAGGTTAGCAGAGCATACGATCTGAATTTCAAACGCCTGTGGGAATGTTAGAATTTTTCTTTCTCACATGTTGGTGACTAATATTTTTAGCAACATTTACCTGGCGAGTTAATCTGTTGAGTTCTTGTTATGGTGGTTTTGTTGTTGCTGTGGTGCTGCTTTGCTATAGATCTGTTAGCGATAATTACTCTGTTAGTGATCTTGGCGACACAAGTGTCAATTTTGTTTTCATGCTTAAATTCTTTTGAGGTTTTTGTTGTCTGAGTGAGGTCACCGACGTTTCGATCTATTAACTGGTGCTTTCTTCCTTCACGGTCAGGAGTAAGAGAGTAGAAATCAAGAGATTGGGAACAAATGAAACAATTCATATTCTCCCCATTCCTTTCTCTGTTAACGAGGATCCAAAATGGCGGCTCCTCATTCTCCGAGATAAATTTACACTTTTTGAAGGTGTAGTTATAAATACTCATGACGTAATTTTTATCATCTATGCAAACATGAGGGCAAGGTTGCCGTGTGGATTATTGGGATGCATACGAGGCATGGCTCTTTACCGAAGTTCTGGTTATATTGGAGGAAAATGGAAAGATTGCGAGACCAAGTTTCCAGTTTACAATCCTGCGACGGGTCAAGAGATTGGGAGAGTGTCTGATATGGGGAGAGAAGATGCGGAAGAGGCTGTGAAACAGGCGTATGATGCATTTAAAGTCTGGAAAAACGTGACAACAAAGGTATGATGGGTAAAAACTTTTGTTTCAATCAGCGGAAGTGCATTCATGTCGCGCAAATTATTTTAGAAGTTGCTTTTTCTAGTCGCGATCAGATGTTCGAAAATGGAGTGATTATCCATTTGCCGTTATAATTAACTAATAATTGATGAGGTAATCGCGTGCTTTGCACTATTTTTATACTGCACAATACGTGGTTCAAAGAAAGTCGACAAAACAGCTTTGGAATAAAGATATGGAAACTTAACACGTTCTATTATTTTCCTTTATTTTCGGCACGCGAACGCTTAAAATTAAATCTTGATTTATAAGATGTTGCTTTTAATGACGTTTAAGCCCCGAAATCACACATAGTACGCTTGGGCCGCCTGTGGTATGAATCAAGGCTTGCACTGCTTTCAAAATGAAACGTGCACAAAGTAATCAGGCCACAGAGCTATGCGAATACCAAATGTTTTCCCGATAATACTTACAAGCCAGATCGTGTGAAAGTTGCTGCATGTCCTTGGTCAGCCCTTTTCTGAATTTCTCCACTTCCTCCTTGCCATCCACAAATTCTTCAGGCTACATGGCAATGTAAAAATGAAAAATTTTCTCCTAATTTATTAACGAAATAAATTGACTGAAAGTTACTGTTCCTCCTCTCCGTTGAAAGTTCTATCCTCCTTATATAATATTATATATAAGACATGGTGGCATAGCAAACTTCTATGCAATCTCAACAGTGCTTAGTATGTCTGTAATCAATTTGTGATAATGCATGAATTGGAAGTATATGTTGTTTAATAGAAAAAAGGCCACAATGCATTATTTTGCAAGGTGCGATCTTGGTGTATCAATGGTGATTTGTTAAAATATCATGAGACTGGATTGTATCAGGGATATTTCCTGTGCCAAGAATTGTGGGTTGAGGGAGCAGGAAGACTGTGACTCTAAATTTTTATTTTGGGAAGCTGTGACTCCTGTACCCTTTCTGTTCTGTTAACAATGTAATGTCTATTTCTTAATTTTTGTTTTGTTTTAAGGAGCGAAGTCAGAAACTACGTAACTGGTATGACCTTATTGTGAAGCATGAGGGAGATTTGGCTGAAATGTTAACATCAGAACAAGGGAAGCCATTGTTTGAAGCTAAGGGTGAAATCAAGTATGGTGCTTCATATGTTGAATGGTTTGCCGAGGAGGCCAAGAGGATATATGGTGATATCATTCCTTCACCTGCTTCTTCACGAAGATTGTTTTCTGTGAAACAACCTGTTGGTGTTGCTGCTCTTTGGACTCCGGTAATAAGCATATCTGTACTGTCATACTGAATTAACTCTTAACTCTTACTCAATGTGAACTCCAAAATTTATACCTGAAAAGCTTGACAGACTACTTAAATTTTACATCAGTCAACAAAATCCTTTTAGGATTACTCCACTCCTAACTTGGCATCCATCCTATCTGCTAAATCAAAGAAAACTAAATGGTTAAATTAAAAATAAAAAAAATAAAAAAAATTGATAAATGCACATTAAACTCTTGCCAGCAGGTGATGGCTAACATCAAACAAAGGAAAACCCCTGAAGAGAGTCAAAAGTAACTTCAAATATGCAGTTGTACCAGAAATAGGGATAGTTTCTGTGCTCTATAATTTTTTTCTCCAAAAGACATGAAATCCATTAAATATATCAGCAGGTTACAGTAACCTGCTGGCAGGGTTGGTCATAGTGTTTTGTTCTTGTCCACATAGTGGGTCTCTTTGGGTGCACTGTCCCCTCTTAATGCCCCAGGTAGTGATTAATTATGAGAGGAGGCAAGTATGCAGGCAAAACTAGCCTGCAGTGCAGGTGTCTTAATATGGTGAATTAATGTTAAGAAGCTCACGATTGTTTATTCAACTGGCCATGTTTTATTTGGAGATAAAGGCAGTGGTGAGGGGAGGGGACAGGGAAAAGCAAAATATTCAGTCTCTCACCCCTCTCCTTATTTTTCACTGTTGCTTACCCCCATGGTAATAATTTCTTTCTCTCCTCATCCATCCACTGCCATTAGAATCAAAGATAGTGTTGATAGTTGTTGTTAGGAAAATACTGAGCATTCGCATGCCAAAATTTCACCTGCTCTGCAGGCTAAGGCAAAACCAGAGCCATCACTATAGGGAGATAGAAGGGTTGTCAAATGTACATGGTGTCTATTTATGCCAAAAAGAAATAAATAGGATAAAATGAACCCATATAAACCAAAACAGAGAGGAATCATGAAGAGAAATCTCCCCTGTGGATAAGCAAGTGCACAGAAACTTTAAACTTAAATTACAAGAGAATTTGGGGCCATATGTAATTGATAGCCAGCAGTTAGAATGATGTTCCACTGTCTGTCACTTTCTCAAGCAGAATGTTGTACAGCTTTGCACTAACAAAATAATGCATCTTCATTTGACAGTGGAATTTTCCTGTTGCCATGATCACACGAAAGGCTGCTGCAGTACTGGCTGCGGGATGCACAGTAATAATTAAACCATCAGAAGAAACTCCTTACTGTGCCTTGGCTCTACAGAAGGTACAAATATTAACTTTTTCTCTAAATTACACTTTGGTTCCTTTAAGTCAAACACTGTTTCATACTTTCTCTTTTATGGGAACTCCACTTAACCCTATAACCCCTAAGAGTGACTAGCATCTAATTTCTCCTTACAATATCAGCCCTGAATCAAACATTCAGGTAAGGAGAATAAAGGAGATGGTCACCAACCAGAGAAGCTCTGGGCCCGGTTGTTCAAAAGAGGGTTAAGTCTTAACCTAGGGTTAAGTCAACCTAACCTCAGGGTAAAATTTTAGTCGCGTTGTTCGAAAGAAGGTTTACACTAACCTCGGGTTAAACAGCGGGTTAAATTTAACCCACCGCGCGAGCAGGGTTAAATAACTAACCTCCGGTTAAATAAAGAATAAAAATGGCGAACTTGTTGTTTTGTGATTTACGTCGTCGGCGAAGGGCAAGGAAATTCAGAACCGGCACTCAATTCGAAATCGACGATTTCACAGACGAAGAGCTGCGTGCACGTTATCGCTTTAAAAGAGAGTCCATTTTATTTATTACAAATCTTGTTGCCGATGATATAACTCGCAACACTCGACGAAATCACGCCTTATCACCGCTCCACCAAGTTTTAATTGCCCTCCGGTTTTATGCCAGTGGAGGTTTCCTTCAAGTTATAGGCGACACCTTCGGTGTGGATAAGTCCACCGTTTCCCGTGCCATTACTGGTGTGTCCCGAGCTCTAGCGGCAAAACAGCCCCGCTTTATCAAGTGGCCTTTGACACATGACGAATGTGCAAAAATTAAAAACGAATTTTATATTCGCGGAGGATTTCCTGGCGTTGTTGGATGTGTGGACGGAACTCACGTGAGATTACAAGCACCTACACAGAATGAAAACAACTATGTCAACAGAAAAGGTTTTCATTCCATCAATGTACAAGCTGTCTGCAACCATGAAGGTGAGTAGACTTTTCGCTATAGCAAAACTTCTCAAAGAAAATAAAAATGTAGACATCTAGGATAAAATTCATACACGAACCAAAACATTTGAGGAGGACCGAGCTTTAACCTCAACAAAAATATTGTTTGATTTGAAGGCATGTTTACCAATGTTGTTGCCCGCTGGCCAGGAAGTACTCACGATAGCCACGTCTTTCGGACCAGTAACATTTGCAGTTATTTGCAAAATAACCATCGCTCCCTCGATGATGGCGTTCTTCTCGGGGACAGTGGGTACGCCTGCAGTCCATTCTTAATGACACCGTTTGCAACAACAAGAACTCAATCCCAAGAAGCCTACAATAGTGCGCACACAAAAACGAGAGTGGTGATTGAGCAAACGTTCGGCCGATGGAAAAGGCGATTTCATGTGTTGCATGCAGAAATTAGAATGGCACCTGAAAAGGTTTGCATGATTGTGGGTGCTTGTGCAGTGTTGCACAACATCGCTTTGCTGTTACACGAGCCTATGGAGGATGAAGAGGTAGAAGAGCTGGCAGATGTGGATCCCTACCATGGACCACAACAGGGTCTGTCAATAAGGGACCACATCTGTCAAACATTTTTTGGTTGACATTTTTAACATGTGTGCTGTCTTGACTTTCTGTGATCCTTAGTCATGTAAATTATTTATAGGTGATGAGTTGATTTCAATTGTAATTTGGTGTAAATAGGCACTTGTAAATTTTTGTAAAATATTTTTTTTCAAAGACTCCAAATTGCATTTGCCCATTTTGTTGTCATTAAAAATTTACTCTGTAACATAATTACAAATGCAATTTGGTGTAAGTAAACACTTGTATTTATTTCAAAGACCACAAATTGCACACGCTCTACAGGCATGTGGAATTTTGGTGTCTTTGAAAAATCTACTCATCCTTTTTGACACCAAAATGCAATTGCAATCATGTTATTACCCAGCTAAACTAAATATGGAGGTTTTTAAGGGAAATAGTTCAGTTTTGCAAGCAAATGGCTCAGAGTAAAGGTCTACGTTTTAAAGCTTGGTCAATGTGTAGAAAGTCAGGGTGGCTGACAAAAAAATTTGGTGGGGCATTTGAACACAACTTTTTGCAAAACTTCCTCAAATAAATTGTGGGTTCTTTATTTGTATATTAATTGTTACTTCACTGGTATTGTGTATAATTGTACTAATATGCTATTGCAGAATATTGATCAAGGCAATGTACAATAATGTATAATGCACTGCATTTCACCCTCCCCCCCCAATGCTGATGGAAATAGTTCTAGGATGGTGAAAGATGTTGACACATTTTCACTTTTTCCCCTCCTACCCCCCATCAATTACACAAGACACTTTTTATGCTGTTAGCACTTTGTATTTTACTACTTTCCAACTTGCATGGGGTCATGGAAACCTGTCTTATCTTATAGAAAAGGAATAATTATACTACACATGGTCTAATGTAAACACCTTATTTGATGGTTTACAATGGTAATTGAACTGAGTGAAATCATTGGAGTATTGTGTATGATTGTGCAAGATGAAAATTGATGGGAGTGTTGAAAAGAAGCAACCCCTTTCTAGCTTGCTAGTATGTGGGCTGTTAATGTCCTTGGCTGAGAGATTGTCCTTAGAATTTCAAATTTTCTTTGGAAGCTTTACTAATTCTCAGCCAAATATCAATTTTTTGGACACTCTCAGACGCTGAAGTTATCAGTAGACATACCAGCGAGCCAGAAAGGATTTAATGTACTAAATAACCTGAAATTTATTTCAGTGGCTCCTATATGTTTTTGCATTCACCTTTCACAAATGATCACTGCTATTGGTACATACTGCAGTAGTGAAAAAAAAAAAAAGGTTGCAGTCTCTTTCATTCAATAAATTTTGCTTATTGCCTGTAAATTTTTATGACACTGATGCCCTAATATTGCCATAGTGGCAAACGTTGTAAGGAAGATACATGGGTTGAACTCAAATCAAAGTAAATGATTATTTAAGAAAATTATTTGCACAAGTTGTTGAATAAATATACTTTTATTTTGTATTTCAATCTGGGTGCTTGTCCTGATAAAATGTTATACAATCAGACATATAAATAATAAAAAAGTAAATAAATTTCTTTACTTGCCCATAACACATTATATCTTTGATTATATAAAACATGGGTATTCTCCATTTTATACAAATTTTATGTGATTACAACTTTATTCACATATCCATAACATAACTTACAACTTGAATCATGCTTAAATTCTCCATTTTATACATTCATGGACTTAAATTTATAGACACAGTAGGTATAGAACATGATCTTTGTTCCAAAAGGAACACTTCCAACTCCAATTTCTCTTTTTTTAGCTTAAGATTTTCCTGCTTTAGAATTAATGCTTTGTACTGGGCCTCGAGAACGTCGTCTTGTGTTCTTTTTTTTTACTTTTTTTTTTTATGATGATTTTCTTCTTTCGGTGTATTGACCACTTCATCATCGATTTCGTGGGTGTTGGCTTCATCTTGCTGCACAGCTTCTTGGAGTTCTTTAAACAGGTCTTCATTCACCTCAATTGTTTCCAATTGAGCAGCTACTTCCGTAGGCTGGTTTGCTTCAGGGCCTTAAAAAAACATCCCACATATAACGGTAAAAAAAAAGTGACCTCTTGTTTAAAATTACTTGTCATCAGTTCAAAGGTTCAAAGTAAATCATGACCGAAATGACTGATCTAAATTCACTGAAAGTACTGGCTGTTCAGTTCAAGACAGGTCTCTTTCTAGGAAACTTTGAGGGAGTCTTGAAGAAATGGTAAGTCTAAAAGCTTTTACTCAAAGCTTCTGCAGTTTTAGGAATATTTGTTATTTTTTTGTGCTCGCCGTGGGTTGCGTGACAAATAGTGTAACAAATATGATAATCAAAGCTAATAAAGAAAGTGACTTCTGAAGCTGTCGTTCATGTAGCGGAAATTATGAACCGAAAATTTGTCTTGTTTCCTGTAAACAATGAAATAACTTATGCATTCTTAAGGTAATAAGAAGTTCAAGTTTTAAACAACAGTGGATGTTAATTCTCACCTTTCGACTCGAAACCCTCGAGGCCGGTGAATGATGGGGTTTCTTTGAAAAGGTCAATGATTTTAGCAGTTGCCGCCGACGGCATCTTCGGAGCTTCACCTCCTCCAGTTTTTTTTCTGCTCTTTGGCCAGTTCTGTGAACTCTTTTTTTTGGCCTGTGCGTGTAGATTTTTCCATTTTTCTCTGACCTCGGTAGTCGTCCTCCGAGCAACTCCTACGGCGTTGACAGCATCCGCGATTTTACACCATATTTCATTTTTTTTTTGGTTTGTGACGCTGTTCGTAAGTTTACTTTGTATAATGGAAAGGTTTTCCTCTACTTTTTCCGTTAAGGTGGCTATTTCGGACGCGCTGAAATTTTGTTTACGGGCTTTGCGTGAGATCGCAGGGGAAGCCATTCTTCAGCTCGCAACTTGCTCACCATAGCAACAATTTACGAAAAGAATATTATGGGTTGCTAACCTCAGGTTAGCCGCGTCTAACACGAGGTTAACTAACCGGCTCTTTAACCGCGCTTTGAGAAACGCTATTTTAACCCTGTGTTAACAAACCTGCGGTTAAGAAATTTAACCCGCGGTTAGCCCTAACCTCAGGTTTAGTTTAACCCTCTTTCGAACAACCGGGCCCTGGATTATGAAACAAATTCTCCTCATCAGCACCTTAGGGAATGTATAGGGAACAGTATGGAGAATTTGCATACTGGTGTTAAGGTGGAAAGGGTTAAATTTGCAGGATGACTGAAACCACTTTCCAGGCTCCAAGTTTGACAAATCCTTTTGTTTACTTTTTCTGATAAGTGACAATCAACAAGAATGTACAAACTCCTTGCATTAGTCAGACTTCACAAAGATCCGCTTTAACCCACTGTAAGGATTAAAGCAGTACTCCTGAGATCTATCACCAAAAAAGGAATTCTCCCATATAGCCAGAGTTCTCCCTTATTTTAAGCATGACAGGTAAAATAAATTTTCAAACCGGTAAAGCAATCCTTTTACCTGTTGGATTTTCAAGAATTCCAAGCAATTTTACACTGTATAGCTACAATGTAAAAATTTCTTCATAGAATATTTAACCCTTAAAACCATAAGAGTGACTAGAATGTAATTTCTCCTTACAATATCACCCCTTAATGGAATATTAAGGTCATGAGAATGACACAAATGATCATTTCCTTGAGAAGCTCTTGATTGTTAGACAAGTTCTCTATGTTGCTCCCGTGGGGTTCTGGCCCAGAGGCTGTAACCCGAGGAGGCACTATAGAATCCCCTGCACATAGGGAGAAATAAGAAATAATGTATTATAGATAGAATAGGTGGAAAAAATCTTGTTTTGTCCTTAAAGTGGTAAACAGAATGGGCCTGTTGTAGGTCCTTTTCATGCGGCATGTGTTGACATCAAATCAATCAGCCAAAGACTTAATGTCACAGCTTGTGTTCCACATCAGATGGTTAGCAACTGAAACAATTCACAATAGTGTTTTGGTTGAACCTGAATTCAAATTTCTTTTTTAGTTGTCCGACAATGCTTCATATAAACTCTAAGTAGAAGTTTTAAGATAAAAATTTGAGTGTTAAAAAAGGCAGTGGGGAAGTTTTAGTGACACTTATTACTAGTGAGCACCTTAGGAAATGCATAGAGTGTAGGATGGAGAATTTGCATACTGATGCTAGGGTGTCAAAGGTTGATAACAAGATGTTATGTGTCAATTTCTTCTGAGATTTAAGGGGTTAATAATTTTTTATTCTCAGCTGGCCGAAGATGCAGGTTTTCCCCCTGGGGTGGTCAATACAATTCCTTGTTCCCGAGACAATGTGAATCAGGTCACAGATGCACTTCTTGGTAATGACATTGTGGCAAAAATGTCATTTACCGGCTCTACTGCAACTGGAAAGGTATAATAACGCAGCTTAACTCTACAAGATCTTGCACTTTTTTGAGAAAATGAGACTGTGGGCTGGTTCAGTTCTGAAGAGGCTTTTGACACCAGAACCAGATTTTGAGGAAAATGTTATGATTGTCTTTAAATCGGCATCTTTTCCATTTACACAGGCATTAGGGATGAGGTTTTATTCCCTTGTCTGTGTTAAAGAGAATTTCCCCGCACAGCTTATCCCCATTCTCTTGCCATTCTCTTGCCATTCTGTTGCATAGCTCTTTTTCAAACTTTTCCTCCTCTGACCTATGAAGATGTCTCTCATTCTTTGAATATTCCTTGACCTTCTAGGCAGTAGGTTGGATCAATTTTTTATCATGATTTTTCAAGCAGCTGGAATAAATTTAGATTTGTTACCATCACAAGATATATGTGATATTTTTCATCAAACAGCTTCTCATGTCAAAGTGTATCGATCCAATCAAGAGGGTCTCTCTGGAGCTGGGGGGAAATGCACCATTCATTGTATTTGATTCAGCTGATGTTGATGCAGCTGTCGCAGGAGCACTGGGTGCTAAGTTCAGACATACTGCACAGGTAATACACCTCATTTCTCACAGCAATTATGAAAAGGCAGTGTGGCTGTGTGGTTGGGGCACTGGTCTTGTAATCTGGTTGTCCCAGGTTCAAGCCTTCCACCCTGCTCAGTTGTCACAAGTTCAACTCCTTGGCTGTACTATGTGTATAGTCAACTGATCTGCCTTCTGCTAGTTGCCACTCCCAATGTGGTATTATTAATTCTCTGCTCAGGCTGTGACACATTTCTTTGTAAGTAAGTTGCAAGAATTTGCTGTTCAATCTAAATAACAACTACCTGATAAGCTTGAGGTTTCTTATCACCTGTTTGCTGAATTAAGTATGAATGTTCTAGGGAGAAGTTACCTGCTAATCACTTTTGGAAGTGAAAGGGTTAAACACTGTTTATTCATACTATTTCAATTTGTTACTATTGGCCTGAAAAGGCCCATAGGGGGAGTGGTCAGTTGAGTATGCATACATACTGGTACATTCATATGTATTCACACATGATAATATACATAGTGTGATAATTGTTTTAGAATTTATTGTAATTTATGCATAGGCATGATCTGAATGCAAAGTGTATAACTGTATAACTTCATTACCAGCAGCGGATGTAGATAGAGCTGATGGTGGGGTTGATACTACTTTCGGAAGGAGGCAGGGGCAGATCAGGGAGGTTCTTAACCCCCCTCTCTCCGACCTTCCCCCCTCCCTGGCCATTTGCAATTTCTTAGCTTATTAAGGCCAGAGTGTAAAATTAAAATTTCCGTGTTCTTCGAATCAACGTTTTTTTTTTTTTAACTCCAATTCATTTATTTTCTGATTGTCTGACAACAGCCAGCACTTAGTTCAGTTTTTTTGTGATGAAATAGCTGGGATCAGCCTGTTTTTATATTAATCGGACTTAATTTTGTGTTTCATTTTTTCTACCAGACCTGCATTTGTGCCAATCGCATCTTAGTTCAGGACAAAATTTACGATGAATTTGCATCTAAGTTTGCTGCGGCAGTTGATGAACAACTGAAAGTTGGAAATGGAATGGATGCATCATCAACGCAAGGACCACTTATAAACGAGAAAGCTGTGGAGAAGGTAGTGTCAAGTATTAAGCGACTGATTGATGCGTCAGCCGTGCTTTCATCGAGATATCAAGCACGTGCGAGGTTAAGAGAGCACCACAGATGTGCTAGAATTTCCTGAGGTGTAGATGAGAGCGGATCTAAGTTGTTGAGTGCCTTCCAAACTTCCCAATACCTTCAAATCTACAGAGATGAACGCATACCTTAGGCATTATTCAATTGTTTCCTGACGTTTTGAACACGTCGGTTTTCTAGTAAACCTTAATTTGTATAAAACACATTGAAACTAAACTGCCGTTGTTGGTGTTCTTTTGGAATATCGTGTTGTTTCACTGATAAACACTTTACAGAATTTAGCATTAGCTAATTAAAATTTACTTAACAGAAACCCGAGTGAGTTCTTGAGATAGGTTTTTGAAGAGATTTTGATTTTGACTGGCTTCAGTTACGCATCTGATTGGTCCAGAGGGCGGTGTGAGTTTCTGAACGAATCATGGAGCGAAGTGGAGCAAAACCAATACAATCCCAAGTTACTTTCGACAACTAATTGAAAATTTTCATAGAAAAGACTACTAAACATGCACTCATTACTCCACTCTTAGGTTGAAAGTCACGTAAAGGATGCTTTGTCCAAAGGCGCCAAATGTCTAAGAGGAGGTCAGCGGCATGAACTTGGAGGTAACTTCTACCAGCCAACTGTCCTGTCGGACGTCACACGTGATATGATCATCTGTAGTCAAGAGACCTTCGGGCCTGTGGCTCCTCTCATAAGGTGTTTAAAGTATTTGTATTTTTGTAGAAACCTTTCACCTGGTTCGAAAATCTTAGACTGCGTTACTTGATTCTGAATTGTCGACAATTCAGCATTACAGGTTTCGTTCTATTCCATCCTGATCTAACTTAAGGTTACAAAAATCGCTACATTTTTAGCCAAGGAAATTCACGCCCAGATACGTAATTCCACGTGGGATTCAACGCTTTCAAACGTTCCACAACGATTCGTGGGCACTAATTTCTAATCGGAAGTGGGTTTACTTGACGATCATGCTGCTATGTTCTTACGCGCTCAAATTAGATTTATTTCTGTGCACAGAACTAATTTGGTTATCCAAAGCCTCTTCCTGTAACATTTTACTTTAACGGTAGAAATATTCTGCTATAACGGTAACCAAATTACACATTACTTGATACACAATTAAAACTATAATTGAAAGGGAATCAATTTTGAGCGTAGAAACTGAACGCATCCCGACAATTGAGATTAAGATTGCTCTTAAGTAAAATTATAGAGTTAATGATCTGATCTGGATGATTTCTTAGGTTCAAAACCGAAGAGGAGGCCGTGGCAATAGCTAACGATACCTCATCAGGATTAGCAGGTGACTTTGAATTTAACTTACGTAGTTTATACCAATGCATACATAAGCGCTTGAGTCCAGCCTGAGCACAATTTCAGTTGTAGAATACGTGTTCTCTGCAATAAAATGATTAGCTGTATTGCCTTAAACAATTTTTTAAAAAAATTTTCCAAAAAACTAAACTAGTTAGCAGCACTTTGCGAAGAGCAGTCGTAAAACTTCTTTATTCTCCAACTCATTTTGTCTAACTGTCGTAAACTTCTTCAGGGAGTTTTACAAGTTAACACTAAACGCCTGTATTTATAAGCCATAGTTAGCAGCTATTACGAAGGCCATTGACCATGTAGGCTTGGCCGGACTTACAAACAGGAACAGTCCGGGTTGTGAAAAATTTTGCAACTTTTTAGTGGGCAAGGTGAGAAAAATATTTCGGGGGCCCCCGTTTTTAGCTAAAAACTAGTTAAGTTTTTAAGAAATTATGTGAGTTTTAGCTAACATATGCGGCAGACCTTTGCATAGTATGTCGGCTCAAGGAAGGCTCTATGAATCTATTACAGTGTTCAGTGCGTTCGTAATCGATTTGGAACAATGCATTGTTATGCAGTTTTTGAACCAGTCCGACAACATGATTTCGTTGTGTGCAATCCTAAAGGAAGATCTGTGGTAAGATCGCAAAGCTGAATATTTTGCCAGGGTGAGGTGGGCGGAGGGTGAATGAAAGGGGGCAATGACTCCTTCAAAATTTTTTACTGGAGGCTACAGCCCCTGTTCCTTCTTCCCCTGCTTCACCGCCTTTGTCTGAGGAAAACGTTTTTCTAATTTTTTTTCCATCCTAGGATACTTTTACTCCCAAGACGTGAGCCAAATCTGGCGCGTGGCTGAGGCCATGGAAGTGGGTATGGTAGGGGTAAACGAAGGAATCATTTCATCAGAGATTGCACCTTTCGGTGGCTGGAAGCAGTCCGGGTTAGGGCGAGAAGGTTCAAAGTATGGAATTGAGGAATATCTCGAGATCAAGTATATCTGTTTGGGAGGCATCACTAATTCATGAAAACTGAACTCAGACCTGATGCAAGACCTCATGGAACAATAACATTGAGCTTTTTAAGTTTAGAAATTAGTTTACAGTCTTGACACGTGTCGATGGACTTAAAAAAAAAACGCTGAGGAGATTTCATAGTAAACAGGAGACCGTAGACTTTAAATCTTCCCGAAAGTGCGACTCGCTCGGGAATTGTGTCGACGGTTTTTTTTCTAGGTAAGAGAGATAATCGAATAACGTTAGGTTATGATTAGGGTATGTGATTTTTTAGATATACAAGGGTAATATATAAACGGAGTCTATGAACTAAAGCAAACGGAGTCGTTTATTTCAAACACACCTTAGGTGCGTGAATTATGGCACCTTCCATCGTTGCAGTTTCCTGTACAGTCACTTTAAGGGATGCCGTTGCCCTCCGCCTTTGCTTTTGGACTGCCCCAGAATGACTGACCTGGCTCTTAAGGCCTTGGCTATCTTCGAGCATCTCCACTTGGTCAATGTCGCAGTTTGCGTTCGGTAAGAAACTGCAACTGCATGGAATTTTCTGTAAGAAGGGACTTATGGAAAGATTATTGAGTGCTTCGGCAGGGCCGATACTTTTCCCGGGGGTTGAGTAACGCTAGCCGCCGCGGCGTGATGTCCGGAAGGGGTCTAGTACTAAGTACCAGACCCCCGTCTCAAATCTTTCGTCGAGCGGAGAAACGCGCATCCTGTAGCGCTTATGATGAGGCCTTCTCGCAGGTGATAATGTCAGTTGATGCATAAATTAGGTCTGAGGCGTTTCATAATTTCTCACTTGAATCGCAGTTTATTGACCAAGAACGGAATCGAGTTGTCGTGGATGCATATGCCGGCCTACTTTACCCAGTGGTCTTTTCGGTCTGCCTACTTGCCATTTTTAGACTGGGCCGAGGAATCTCGTTTCCATGGTGCGTAAATAGCAAAATGGCGGCTTCCCTTCAAGTCACAAAGTCAGTTCACTTTTTATTGCTTAAATCATGACTTCTCTCAAGAACTGTGACCCGCAGTTAAGACGATATTTGCTTGTGCATCGGCTTCCTGATATATTTGAGGTAAGAATTCACTCTAACAGGCAAACTGCAACCTTGATTCCTGAATCAAAGTATTTTATCCAGCGATTTTCTCAGTTTGTGGGAGGAATCCTGCTCAGTGATTTTCCCCCCGACAGAAAGTGATAGTGTTTGAAGTTGGAATTTATATAAGCTCTGTTTGCGTTCGAGATCCATACTTTATCTGAAAGATTTGTTTCCGTAACCTAATGCGTCGTTGCCCAAGGCTATGGCCAGCTGTCTTTTTCTTGTTGTTAACTATTGCCGATAAGAAGTGGTATAGGATTGATATAAGTACATTTCGTGTAGGTGAACGCTTGGGGCTGAGTTTAATTAACAATGGTTTATGAACTGAGCGGAGTGCAATTTGTATAGGTAATCGCATGATTGCAAGTGATAAATCAGCACAAATATTGCTCGTGCTGATTTATCCCAAAATAAGACAATTTTTTAAAGGCTAACCAAATTGTAGTCTTTTAAAAATTTACGTGTGCTGATTCATCCCCAAGTCTGGTGGCTTGCCTTTGCCTTGTTGTTGAAGTAGTCAGGCTTTTTCCTCAAGAATTTGTTTCAAACTTTTAAAGCCTCTCTCAAGATTAATTGAGAGTTTGTACTCTTTCTCAGTTAGGTATCACGCCAAGAATCGTGCCTGTCTTTCATACAAACAGTTGCGTAAAACTCCTTGAGAATTTTATTCAGGGCCTCCGGCTCACACTTTCATATCTGTTTTTTGAGGCCAGACTTTAGGCCAGCTTATCCTTTGCTGAATGTTTTTGCTTTTAGCATACTACCTCAAACTCTGAATTAAAAAAATTGTTACTTTCTCCACACCTGTCCACTATTTTGTTTTGTTGTGCTTAATAGAAACTTACCTGTCAATCAATGTACTTTCAACTTTCTGCACAAAATTTCAACCCTCTGCACTGTTTGGGATCACAAAATTCAGTCACTAATTACAAGTTTTGTGGGAAGCCATATCAGTGTTCAATAATCATCAACGAATCATAAAAAGCAATAATTAGCCGAGTGAAAATTTGTTTTTGTGCTATAATGCCAAGGCAATGAAACCAGCCATACTAAAAACCATTACCACAATTTGTTAATGAAATAATAATACTTTAAGTGTAAGTGAAGCCTTTTTTTTGTTTTTAATTTCAAGTAACTTTGCTTAAGGAAATAACCAAAATTAAAGAAAATGCGCTCCTCAGCCTATCAGAATTTAGTAATTTTGCCCTTTATGTTATAAAAGTGTTATCATGCAAGTGGTTAACAAAATTGGAAGACTATGAAGTGGGAGACTGTGTTGTTAATTACAAATATGATAACAGACAGAATTGAATAACATGAAGTCTTGTCACCAATCAGTCAAAACTATGACAAAATTTTAGATACAAACTAGTGATTCATCATAGGTTTTCATAAAAAAAGATTTCAGTCACCTTGGCAAAATAGGTGACAACAGTGACTGCACATGATGCATACTGTCCAATTACACAGGACTGGTACGTTATGCTTATATTGTCCAATAACATTGTCCAATTGGTGTTGGTTGGAACCAATCATGTTTGAAAATATTGATAAAGTATTGACTACAGTATGGAATTTTATGGATTTCAAGTTCGCCCCTGTATGTGTGGTTAATAAGGTTGATTCCTGACTTATAATTTGACTTTCATCTTTTGTCATACTTGGAAGTGCACAAACCATATAATCTTTATGTAAGCTTTAAGATTGTAAGTAAAAAAATACTTTTGACTTGCAGGCTATTGTCAGTGCTTTAGCTGTCAACTGCCCAAGGGATCCACAAGCATTTATTCTTGAGAAATTAAAACTCATCATAAATTATGAAGAGGTCCTGGATGATTTGCGATGGTATGTATTTTATTGCATTTTTGGATACAGAGTTCTATCTGATTAATGCTTAAGTAACTGAGAAAAGTGCAAGTTGTTCTGAAATCATACATCATTGTGTTATTTCAGAATTGAATGAGTGTCTCTATAGGGCAGATACAATTGTGGAAAACAAATATAAATTCCTTACCAACATTTGCACAGCATGAGGTTTACTTGTCACTTATTTAGATCAGTTTTAACCCTTTAACTCCCAAGATCTGACAGTTAATTCTTCCCTCACCCTGTTACACATTTCCTTTTACATTGGTTACAAGAATTTGGTGTTAGATCTAAATAAAAACTTCTACCTGATAAGTTTAAGTATTCTCTTTACCATTTTGCAGGATAATGTAGGGATATAATAAGGAGAAGTTACATATTAATCACTTCTGGGAGTCAAAGGGTTGATAGAGCAAAATTTAGTTGCCCACATACAGACTTTTGGTCAATGAAAAATATTCCAATTGACCCAGTGGCTATTTGAAAAAGAACAAAAGAGAGAGACACCAAGAGAGGAAAATGACTTTTAATTTGGTTATTTTGATTTTATTGATTTGGGATTTTAACTGGCTGCAATCAAATTGTGATTTAGAGACTGAAAAAGGAGGTACCATGCATAAACAAATCGCACTGCTTAGAGCCAACCAGATCGCCAGGATCACTAGTGATTTTAAAATAGTATATTTACTGATATTACTTTAGGCTTCCTTTAAAATTGATTGATTAAATTTCTTTTTCGTTCCAGGGATTCTTTTATTGATCAGAAAAATCGTCCCAAGAATAGAGTAGTGAAGGCCACAGTTTTGGATTTCCTTTGGTCATATGAAGATGAAAATTCACAGGTAAAGAAGAGTTATTGCATTTTAATTGATATTTGATAGAACAAAAATAAAATAATCACTTCAAATGGCCCATCAGAACTGAGAGAATATTACAAGAAGCCACTGAGGACTTTAAATCCTTTTAAACTGCTTCTAGTTTTAGGCTCAAGGGGAGATGTTATGGAGAGATGTGCCATGGGTTGGCTTCAAGGTCAAGAGGTTGGCTTTGAGATGTGGCTGGGTTATTGTAGTGTTCTCAAGCAAGATACTCAACTTTCCTAGTACCTCAGTCCCTGCTCAGAATTTTTGACCCCTTAACTCTCATGAGTGACTAAGACAGAATTTCTTGTTACAATACCAATACAATATCAACCAGATAAGTGATGAGAATAAAGAAAAATATTAATTTTGGGATCATAATCAGTTAATCCAATACTAAATTCTCTGAACTAACTGAACTTATTACTGGTAATAATTGTATGGTTGATAGTAAGGAGAATTAAAAATTGGATCTGGGGGTCAAAAGGTTAACTCTCTTTGTATCTCTTCCTGCTCAGGAGTTTTAAATGAGTACAGGCTCTAATGATTTAAAGACAGTCTAAATTAATTCAAGGTATTTTAACCCTTTCCCTCAGCCAACTCCTGAAATGTACCAAAAAGCCTACAACTTGTACAATGGTAAACTGAAGAAATCATGTTTCAGGTAAGGAATGAGCTGTAAATTGTTAGACTAAAGTTTGTTCCTCTATTTAGGTCTGTTGTTGGTAGAAGTCAGTGTTGTACAGTTAAGATCTAAGATCTTAACTGTACAACTATTTTGTTTTCATTTATTTTCATAAAGGAAGCTTTCATGAAATCCCAAATACTTTTTATCGTTTCCTTTGTCATAGTGCCTGGATGCGTTATCACAAGTACATGAGGAGAAAGAAAGCTTTATTGGCCAAGAAACTAGAGAATGCTCAGATTTGGCATCAGCGTAGGGTACAGAGAATACATCTTGAATATTGGATTGTATCTTTTTAAAATTCAGTCAGGAGGATATGTACATTGTGTAATACTAAATTACACTTTCAAGAGTATTTTGCTTTATAGTTTTTTGGGAAACCATCTGGCAGCTTTACTGTAAAAACCCGCAGATAAGCCGCACCTTTTTTCATCCGCTCTAATGCCTGGTTACTAAGCTTCGAATGTTCCGCTCGCGTTCTTGTCGTAGTGCTAAAACCTATGGAAAAGCTATGTTGAATAAAGAAATTCCCGTCAACAAATACCAGAAAAAGATGAATCATATGTCAAAGTTGGTAGGAATGATGTTCATTATGTTAAAGTGCCAAAATTGTGGGTAAGACTTTGAAGTATTTTCCGTTACAATGTTAATAGTGAGTGTACGTTCGATGAACAGTGGATGAAGAAGACTTCTCAATACTCGACTTTGGATTTCTTTTGATTTCTTTTAAAAACCTTTTTTTCCAAAATTTTAGCTGCTAAATTCAGGGTGCAGCTTATCTGCGGGTTTTTACGGTAATTTCTATTTGCAGGATGTCTTATAAAATTTGGCATTTAGTATTTGCAGGATGTCTCACGAAATTTGGCATTTAGTATTTCCTACATTATAATAAGAATCCTGTCAAAAATAAAAATCTACAGAGCCTTGGCTCTTTGAGTATAACTTTTTTCACATTTTATGTTTGTACAGCTATGAATAAATTTGTGCTACATTAAATTTCTCCTTCACTTGATTGACACTGCCACAGGCATGGGTTTCTGAGAGAAAGGAGAGGCAAAATGGTTAGTAAATTTTTCTTTTCCTTCCAGTTCCTCAGTTTTGAAACAATATTTTAGTTTTCAGTCTTTAATCATCCACGTCAATGGGTGTCTGTAAAATATATAATGTTGAATATCAAACTTTACAGTCAAGAAAATGTGTTTCACAAATAGTTATAGTTAACAGATGATTAACTCTTTAACTCCCATGAGTCATCAAGACAAAAATTTTCCGTACAATATCAATACAATATCAACCAGAAAAGTGATGAGAATAAAAAAAAATATCAATTTGGGGATGATTAGTTGATCCAATACTAAATTCTCTGAACTAACATTATATAAGAATTGTATGGTTGACAGGAAGGAGATTTACAAATTTGATCTGGGAGTCAAAGGGTTAACAGATGTTCTTACTGCATTTTGATGTCCTCTGTGATCAATTACTAAACAGACCAACAGTAACATGGAATCTATTTCAATTTATATAATAAGCTCAGTTAATGCACACATTCTAGTTGGTTCTCACTTATGATCTATTGGAGGACAGACGTGTAGATGATGTCATCATTAACACTTTTTTTAATTCTTTATTATATAAAACAAATAGATTCCAAGTTTGCCATGTGTCTGTTCAGTAATAGATCACAGAGGACGTCAAAATGGGGTAAGAACATCAGTGACACACTTGGCTGCGCCTCGTGTGCTACTTTTTTGTTCTTACCACATTTTGATGTCATCTGTGATCTATTACTGAACAGACGCATGGCAACTTGGAATCTATTTGTTAATTGTTTTGTGTGATAAAAAAGTAAAATATTGTTGACCCTTTAACTCCCAAGATCTCATTAGTAATTCTCCTTACTGTCTGCCATACAATTCTTGTGATGTTAGTTTGGAGAACTTGGTATCGGATCAACTAATAATCCCCTAATTGATATTTTCCTTTTTCTCATTACTTGTCTACCTGATATTGTATTGATATTGGTAAGGAGAAATTCTGTCTTGGTCACTCATGGGAGCTAAAGGGTTAATTGTGATGTCATTCATGCATCTGTCCTCCAATAGATCCTCAGTGAAAACCAATCAAAATAAATTACTGTATACCTCGGCTTATCATTAAAACTGTCTTCTTGATGACCAAATCTTTGTTTGAGGATTGCAGTTTCTGTATTGATTGAAACCCTGCATTCTTAAATTTTGTGCAATTAATTTTATTACATTCTGTGAGAAAAAATGAAGCTTAATCTTTTCACTCCCTGGAGTGACCAAGACAGTTTCTCCTTAAAAAAAAAACAATGCAATGTCAAGAAGACAGTCAAGTGATAAGAATAAAGGGAAATATCAGTCAGGCAATTGTTAGTTGATCCAGTACCTTTAATTTCAGTGATCTCCACAAGGATCCGCAGAGTCCTTGCAATCTCATTGTTGCGTGTGGTGTTTGATGCATGGCATAGTGTTGCTGTGGATGCCAGGAAGACAAAGGAGTATTTTGAGGTGGGTAAGACAAATATAACAGGCTGGGGGGAAAATTTTGTAACCATGTATTTTGTGACCTACAGCTGTATGTGAAATTAGAGGTTTCTTCAGATATTGTAATCCTCAGGCTTCTGTGAAATATTTTGCTCCTCCACTGAGGAGGAGTTTGAATGGGTACTAGCTGGGTGTGGGGAAAGCTTGACAACTAGCACAGGGGGGTGGGGGTGGGGGTGGGGGTTGTTAATCCCTGAGATGTACCAATATGCCTCACAGTAGAGGAAGAAATACCACAAGTTTCTTGTTTACAAAAAAAAAAAAAACAACAACTACAAAAAAACAGGGTAAGCTTTGATAGTAGAGACAACTCTAGGAGGGGAAAATGTCCTGTTAGACAGTGGGAACTATTTTTAATACACAAGTGTGATTTTGAGTGTTCTTGGTCTAATAAACTAGCTCACTGCTTTGCATATTTTTTTCTGAAAATATTCAGCGGATTGAAAGAGGAGAGATCATTGACTCAGGGTATGAAGGATTCTTCCGTGTCAGAGCAGACGGAAAAGATGAAATTTCATCCCTACCAAGACATGCAGCGTTAAGGGTAAGTGTAGCTTTGAAAGGGTGTGAAATTTTTAGATCCATTTTTTTTATTTGCTTTCCTTTCATCTCAGGTCAATAGATTTGAGGAAAGGTAAGTTAAAGAGGCATTTTATAAGTTTTGCTAGCTGCTGTAGTAAGGAAAACTTTTATCAGTTTGTGAAATTACAAAGCGGTAGAAGTTTCTTGACTTTTTTTAACAGAAAAATCAGGTTCATTTACATGTAATACAAACTTGTCAATCCAGATTTTAATATTTGATTGTCATACGATTTAAATCGTTTATTAATACGTGTTTCTGTTTTCAGATTTTCAGTTACCTAAGCGTGGGTGACTTGGGACGTTGTGCTCGGGTCTGTAGAAGCTGGAAGGTGTTGATTCAAGCCAACATACTCTGGAGTAAGGTTGATTTCTCCATAGTGAAACACATGTAAGTCACAATTGTGGGGGTGGGGTGGGACAGGGGGAGGGCTGTAGCATCCCCTCCCCCCCCTGTTTTAAATGGAATTGGAAGAAAATGGAACTGTTCTGATTCTTCCGTCTCCGATTTCGTCGCGCTAATTAAGAGGTCAGAAGCGCTCTTTTAACCACAATTCCTAATCCATCACCTGTGAAAACCAGCCTTTTAGCATATTTCATGTTCTCCAAACTTCCTGGCTCTGGTGAGGGGCTAACGCACGAAACATCATCTTTGGGACCTTTCCTTCATGTTTACTTATGTTATTCATTGCCACAAAACATAAGTGAGAATTTACAATGGGATAGTTACAGAAGAATTATGATACTACTTTTATTTACGAACTGTCAATAACTATAAAAGATAAGTATCTCTACAACTATAACATTATCAACCCAGTTGCTAAATAAACAATAGCCTTTAGTTAGCGCCAAAATAAGAGCGAGTATTTGTCCGCGGACATTATCGGTTCCAAGATGTGAACAGTTTTCCGAGAGCAAAGCTCGATGAAAACTGTGAGCTTCGAGGAACAGATTATTTTTCCAAGGACAAATATATATTTTATCGCGCCAAAGGGAGGCTATTGTGTTTATCATCCTTCAAATATTTTACAACACTCGTGAAAAAATCTTTACAAATAGCTTACTGTTTGCTGCTTGAAATATGTATATTTTTAAGTTTTCTCTCGTACGCCTTTATGAGGAAACAAATATTTCCCTTCTTCTGTAACAACCACATAACGCTCTCTCATCTTGAATTAAATCTTCGTAGTTGGCGAAAGGTTTGAAAATTGGGGGATATCACTTGGATGATATCCTCGGATATCCCACAGTTTTAGCAAAGGAATGTTCGGTCACGTCATTCGTTTAGACCAATTGCGCGCGAGCAAAAAATATTTGATGGATCATAAAACCAAATTATGACGTATGTACCAATTGTTTACCAGATATTTTCTTTTTTTCTTTCAGTGCAACAAATAAAGTAGCAGCCAACGTTATCCACAAGTGCCGTCCATTTCTGGGGCATTTGAATCTTCGCGGATGTTACAATTTATCGAGTGAAAGCATCAAACTTACTGGTAAGGCTGTATATGCTTGAAGTAATTTTTTGAAAATTATATTTTACGTTATTTCTAACAGCGCATCACTGTTGTTATGGAAGGAAATATTTCTTTTGTTTTTACCTTCAGCTCAGTGCAGAAATCTGCAAGATCTTAACTTGTCAGAATGCTCAGGGGTTACGGTAAGTTCTAATAATTCTAATGATTATAATGACAATTGCTATGATTTAAATTGTTATCATCATTTTTTTTGTATCGTTTTAATGATTTGTCACTGAAATCCTGACACAAAGTTGTCCAGAAAGTTCTATTCTTTCAGAGGAAGGCGAGATGGTAGTCACTACTTTCTTTACATTAAAAAATCGAACTTTTTTTGACGTCGTTTTGGACAGGCATTTTCTCTAGGGGTGTATCACATCAAGTGAAGGTTTTCCTCGCTATCTGGAGCTATAGTTCAGTTTTTAGATAAGGAGTCGGATGTAATCCGGTGTAGCATTGGAGTTATATCACGAAGCTCTATGATTGGCTTAGAAAACTGGCGCCACTTTCTGCGCCAATTAGATGCAAAACTAAAAACGATCACCTCGTGGTAACCCGTTATTTCCCGCGCCGCGGGCAGTTTACTTGTTTTTGCTTCGGGTTTTAATTAGCTCGTTGCGATATATTTCTTTGTTGTGATCGGTTCTGTGATTGCTTTGGTTTAATTTACGACACTACCGAATTGTGCTCTACAGAGAAATTTCTAACCAGTCAAGTGCAAATCTACAACCAATCCCCTTGCGACTAAGTCACTCACGTTTTCCCGCGCTTCAGTTCGGCCACATAATATACTTTTGAGCTCTCATGGGTTCTTTGTGACCTTTTCTGTCCTGACTGGCCTTTGTAATTATCATGCGATTAGTACTAGTATAGGTAATAACACGATTTCGAGTGCAATTTGGTGTTAATAAGCACGAGTAAATTTTTCAAAGACAACAAAATTGTACTTTGAAAAATTTCCAAGTGCGAGAAATCATGTTGTTACTTGTTAATAATGTATATGAAGAAACGTCACAGAGAGTCAAGACAGACGTAAATTTTGACAGCGCGCGCGCTGTTTGTAATTTGCACTCGTGTTATATGAGAATGCACCAGTTTCAGCCAATCAGACACGCGTGATTATTTCATGTACATTATTGCGGTAGTTAGTCGAATGGCGCACTAACTGTGTTTTCTTTGTTGTAGGATGAAACAGTCAAGAGTGTTGCCATGGGTTGCACTGCTTTACTCTATCTGAACTTGGCCAGAACGCCTGTTTCTGATGCGTCCCTCAGATATCTTGGAAGGTTAGTTTTCCACAAAATGTTTCCTTCAGTTTCTGAATAGTGGTTGAGACATTTAGGGTAGGCTGAAAGAACATTTAATCATTGTTCAGAAAAACCTTCGTTTTAAACCATATTAAATTTAGTCATGTCATTCATTTTTTATGGCGGCATGACTGAGCCCTTCTCATGTCCCAAGGGTGCATTTTGACCAAGACAGAATTTCTCCTCACAACATCAATGCAATATCAAAGAGACAAGTGATGAGAATAAAGAAAGACATCAATTAGGGGATTATTAATTGATCCAATTCCAAATTCTCCAAACTAACATCTTGAGAATTGTATGGCGGATTGTAAGGAGAATTACTAATCAGATCTTGGGAGTGAGAGGATTAAGCGTTTTCACCTTCACCTTTCAAATTTATCAGTCTACTGTGAGCAGAAAAGGGGAGAGTTTTGTTGCGTTCGCGCAGGAAACGTTGTCTTCAAGATCCATAGGCTTATTTGGGATGGCTTCACTTGCAAGCTCTGACGAAAGGCCTACGCTCGAAACGTCAGCTTTGAAACTATTTACGGTGGTCAATTTACGTTATCAACTCGTTGATAATACTAAATTACCCTGCTATACTCTCCCACTGACGCAGCACGACAGTTACTTTAGAAACTTTCCCCCTTTATTGATTTGTGTAAACGTTATATGCACCTTTTCCTTGTGCTTGTTTAGATACTGTTCAAACATGCTGTACCTGAGCCTGGCTTTCTGCACAAAGTTTACTAATAAAGGTCTTAGTTACATGGCGAATGGTAAAGGATGTCACAAGATTGTTCATCTTGATTTGTCAGGATGTGAGCAGGTTAGAGCTCCATTAACTTCTATTATTATACATTCAACTCACTATCTCTTTTCTGATTCGCTAAAAGCGTTCAGCGAATTTTCGAAATCAGCGCCTGGGACGTCATCTAGCTGCAGATTAAATAACAATCATGTCAAGGACACCCAAGGTCACGGGTAATTGTGTCATGTAAGACAACGGTGCATGATTCTAAAGGTAATCATGTCAAGTTCGCGCGCTTTGTGTTGCTTGCTGATTTGTATATTTTTACACGTTTAGAATTAATTATTAGTTCAACGTACTGTCCTGACCTTTTTGTTTTTTCGTTCAATGTATAGTAAAATAATTATTAGACTCAGTTTTATAGTGATATCCAGAATAATCAAGGTCTCGGTAGGGTTTATCAGTCTCAACCTTCGGCTTCGGTAGCCTACATGTAGCCGTACCCTCCCCCCCCCCCCAAAGGGTGAAACGGAAGCGAGGTTTTCGTAGACGTTCCCTCGCTTCCGTTTCATCTTAGGAAGCGAAGGAGAGGAGGGGGGACGTCATCTGTGATCTATTGCTGAACAGACGCGCGGCAACATGGAATCTATTTGCTTACAATGTCAACCTTTTAAACCCTAAGAGTGATTTGTATCAAATTTCTCCTTCCAATATCACCCCTGAGTCGCACGATAAGGTCATGAGAACAAAGGAAATGATCACAAACGAAAGAAGGTTTTGATTGGCAAACAAATTCTCCTTATCAGCACCCTAGGAAATGTATACAGAGCAGTATGGAGAATATGCATACTGATGTTAGGGTGTAAAGGGTTAGGTCGCATTAGCCATGAATTTAAGCTGCATCAGCTTTCATAATTGATATTTAAATGACCATGTGTGGTACTGTATCTTCCTGTGGCAGTACATCCATGATTTACACAGTGAAGGTATTGAATGACGGAAAAACCAAACAAATTGCTAACGATGCTTACTATCTGCCCATAATGGTTTTTTTGTTTGTTTGGGTTTGGTTTTTTGTTTTAACTAGACTTAAATATAAAAAGGGTAAGTGCGAAATCAGTGAAGGAAAAATGACAAAAGATAGTTGAACATTTAAACCCTCTAAAAGTGATCAGCATCTAACTTCTCCTTACAATATCATCCCTGAATCAAAAATTAAGGTCACGAGAATGGAGGAGATGATCACCCAACCAAAGAAGCTCTTGATTCTTAAACAAATTCTCCTGGTCAGCACCTTAGGAATGTGTAGAGAACAGTATGGAGAATATACATACCAATATTAGGGCGTAAAGGATTTAGTGTCTGGTTTCCTAGTTGTACTTACCCCTGCCGTCCAGAACCCAAGAATCTCGAAGGTTTTTAAAACCTTCAAGGTTCTGGGGTTATATGGCTTGGGTACAAACACTACTACCAAGATCCAATGAGAAATTTTTCCTTTTCAGCTGCTAAATATTACTTAGTTAACCAATTAGCACAATAGTTGTAAACGATATGATAGATCAAAAATAAAATGTATTGATCGAAATTTTTACCACGGTCAACTCTCACCTTCCGGAGACTTCGCCATTAACCCTTTAAGATCCTAGTTTCTCCCCACATCGCACTTTAAGGCCAGGAGAGTAAAGGATATGATCACTAACTAAAGAAGGTCATGATTGTTACCCAAATTCTCCTTGTCAGCACCATACGAAATCTATTGTGAAAAGTATGGAGAATATGCATACTGATGTTAGGTTGTAAAGGATTATGGGCAGAAGCTAAATGTGGGGCTTAAACTATAGACGAATGTTTAGAAACAACTATTACAGATATGCGAACACTTTATGAGCTTCAAAACTAACCTTTTCATTGTTTTACTCAAACAGTTTGTACCTATGTAATTACGCTCTCTGTGGTCTTGGAATGTTCCCATTTTCGCCGCATTTTTTCTCATACTGTAGTAATTTATCTAAGCTTTTTGACTCTGCTATTCATTAAAAGAATCTGGAGGTCTTAAACACGTAAACAAGTTATATAAATCTACGGACGTTCTATCGCTTGTGGTGCAAACTTATTGCCCTCTCGCCTTGGCATTTTTTAATTACAGACAGTGTACTGCGAGAAGGCTGACGGTGTGCGGTTGTAAACAAAATAAAATGAAAACATCGATCTGCCTTGTTGCTAATTTTTGAACCGCTTGTACATTGCAACTAAAAAAATTATTTTATTCTTTCTCAATTTCTATCGCGTGAAAGTGGATTCGAGCTTCGCTTTCGTCAACTATCACGCGACAGAAATCTGGAATCTCGAATGAAAATCCAATTACTCAATACTCAATACGTTGTACGTCATTTTTTATAACCAAAAACTGGATCATTTTTAACACCTTACCTCTTACGAACCCTCGAGATCGAAAACTCAGCGACACTGTGATTTCTGGCAATTTGATTATGCATCTTACGATAGAAAAGTATGTGACTTAATAAACAAGTCACGATTTACATCTTTGCCGATTAAAATTGCACGTTTGCCTCAGAGTCGGTGTATGGGCGATGTCGTGGGAGCTTTGTCAACAATTGTAAAACCCAAATTTTTCAAGTGATCCCTGCGAGATTTCTCCATTTTCATCGTTACTAAGAGCACCTAACGGCATTTGCAAAGGTGTGTGGTGTTACGATAGATGGCAGAAAGCGCCTGCAAATCCACTAAGAATTCTTTCTAATTTTGTTCAAAATAATTTCAGATAACAGAGGAAGGCTACAAATATATTTCCATGGGTTGTGGTACTTTGACAACGATTATTTTGAATCAGCTGCCAGGATTGAGGGACGAGTGTATACAGGTATTTAAACTGAACGTTACTTGTGCACACGATTCAAATCTTTTTTTTGATATGTACAAAACTGTCTTCATTTCTTTCGCATATTGAAGGCATTGACATCCGAATGTCGCACATTGAAGAACGTTTCGATCATGAACTCGCCATTCTTATCGGATGCTGCATTCAAATGCCTGGCATCGTGTAAGAAACTTAACAAGATTAGAGTCGAAGGTGAGTTCAATTTATCATTCAGGGAATCATTTCATTTAGAGAAATTTCTAATTGAGTACGCATAACAATCCAGAATAGCATTGACATTCAGTGTTCTATCTCTTTGACGAAGGGCTAACGCTCGAAACGTCAGCCTTTAAACTCTTTACTAAATTGTCCAGGATTACTTTTCTTCGTTCAGTGATTGGTCAAGAAAAATTGCGTCACCATCTAATCCAAGCAGATGCAAGACTAAACACCGAATGCGACTTGGTCAGTCGCGTTTTCCCGCGCTTCAGTCTGCTTGTTTTTACTTTGAGCTACGAATAAGTGATCACACTCGTCAATCAAAGTTAAAGGGGAATAAGGAGCCAATGGGAAACTCCGAATAAAAGCGCGGGAATACGCGAGTGACCAGCCGATGTGATTGGCTGTAGTTTTGCGTCTGATTGGTTGAGAGGATGATATCAGTTTTCTGGACCAATCAAAGGGCGAAGTAAAGTAAACAAAGCAGTCCTATATCTCATTCGACTCAGAATCCATTTTCACATCCTTTGTCTTTTTTTTTGTCTTTTTTTTTTCCAAGGAAACAATCGTCTCACTGATGCATCAGTTAAAGTGTTGGCCAGAAGCTGTCCTCTGCTTGAACACGTGTACCTTGTGGACTGCCCCAGAATGACTGATCTGGCTCTTAAGGCATTAGCTACTTCCAAGCATCTTCATGTGGTCAATGTCGCTGATTGCGTTCGGTAAGAAACTACAACTGTATGAAATGTTCTGTAAAAAATACCTTTTTTATAGATGGAAAGTAAGAAAGAGTATGAATTTTGTTTTAAGGCTTACTCGTGAGCGCTTCGGCACAAGCGTCTCCTTGCTCGCAGGAAAGTAGGAGTCCTGGAATGAGGTGAGCCGGCTAAAGACCAACAAGGGGCCTGGCACTGTTTACCAGACCCCTGGCAAGCCTCCCCCGAGTCCTCTTAACTCTGCCCGCGGGCGGAGAAACGCGCGTCCTGCGGTGCTCATAATAAGGGCATGCACGAAGGCTAGAAGCTATGGATTGTCCTCCCTTTTCTGTCTTTGCTATTTTTTAAATCTCTTTTTGTTGATCATTTTTTGTTTTCTTGTTTACACCGCTCGTGACGTTACAGGTTCCGAAACCGAAGATGAATCTTTTCTGATATTTTAACGGTTATTTGTTTCACTGGTAGAAGTTTCCTTAAACTCCTACGAATGACCGAGACAGAATATCTCCTTACAATATCAATACAAATATCAAGTAAACAAGGGATTAGAGGAAAGAAAAATGTCAATTAGGGGATTATTAGTTGATCCTGTAACAAATTCTCAGAACTAACATTATAAGAATTGAAAGATGATGTTATTCTGTGAATGACACAAGCATACTCGGAGAAAAAGACGGAACTCCGAGTGCTCCCGTAAGAAGCCGAACTTACGATCTTCCGATTACTACTTCAAATGCTCTACCACTGAGCAATAAGAGACTGGTGACAAGCTAGGCGGTATAACTAGGTCCATAAAGACAAACTTCCGGCATACTGCTAGAATAGGATTTTCGAATGTGGTGCTTTTACGCAGTGACGATGAAAATGAAGATGGTAAATGTTGAGCCTCGTTATTTAAGTGAGAGATGATGTATTCGGTAAAAGAATTGTATGGCAGACAGCAAGGGAAATTACTCATAAGAGCAAGGAAGTTTTGTATGCTCCATTGGTGGTGTTGTTGGTTGCGTTGCTTGTAAAGCTCTCCAACTGGAGTTTTGTGGTTCTCACTTTGCTGTTCATATTTCATCAGGATACAAGACACAGGAGTGAGGCAGATCGTCGAGGGCGCGTCAGGCGCTAAGCTGAAAGAGTTGAATCTAACGAACTGCGTGCGAGTCAGTGACGTCACGTTGTTAAGAATCGCGCAAAGGTAAGGGTGAAGTATTCAGAATTAATTTCCAGTTGTCAACATGGTGTGTAACTCGTATCTCCGTGGTAGCAGAAAGAAAGTTTTCGATTTGAATTATTGAAGGTCAGTTCTGAAAACTGAGTCGTCAACATGGAAATAATTCTATTTCCTTTGAAATCATGTGAAATCAGTTATTATAACGTTTAAATATCAAACGTTCTGTATCTTCATACTAGTTAACTTGCCCAAAACGTTTATATGATACCTATTTTCCATTAATTTCTAGGTGTCACAATCTTGTGTATGCCAGTTTTTGCTATTGCGAGCACGTGACGGACGCCGGGGTAGAATTGCTGGGTACCCTCCCCTCCCTCATGTCACTGGATTTGTCCGGGTGTAACATTCAGGACCAAGGTGTGGCAGCACTTGGTAACAACCCGCGCTTCCGGGACATCACGCTTGCTGAATGTCCAAATATCACTGACCTGGGTCTGCAGGTGCGTACAGAGAACCTCAGAGAATCGGTTAGTCAGTCAGCCAGCCAGCAAGTTAGTCACTCACTCATCTACTCAGACAATCAGTTTATCAGTGAGTCGCACGGTTGGTTTGTTGGTCAGTCAGTCAGTCATTCATTCCTTCAGTCGGTCGTTCGGTCAGTCAGTGATTCAGTCAGCCATAAATCAGTGAGTCAGTCAGTCTTGCGGCCTTTCGCTTGTTTAAACGCCTCAAATAACAGAATTTAAATGTCTCCTTTTTTTTGCAGAAAATGTGTCAGCAGTGTCGACAATTGGAGAACTTCGATGTTTCCCATTGCAAGGTACAAAGGGCATATCACGAACTTTTGAATAACTAGCTGGTAGCCACTCTCATTGAAAAAGTTATTGTGGACGCCGTGATTGACGTACGTTTCTCTTCCATTAGGGTTTAACTGATAACGCCATCAAGAACCTCGCCTTCTGCTGTCGATTACTTCGCACGCTGAACCTCGCCGGCTGTAACAAGGTAGAAGAGCAAAGGATTTTTTATTAAAAGCCAGTTACTGTCGGTCTACAGCTGTCTATAAAACCTCTCACCGCCGCTGTTTCGCCTGCATGCAGGCTCTTGAGTTTAGGTTCCGCCTTACGGCCCTTTTCAGGGCAAAAGGGCCCATTACACCACCGACAGCCGCTTATGGAATAATTTATTGAAACCCCTTGAAGAGAATGCAAAACCGAAGATAACCTTACTGTTCCTAATGAGAAAATTGATTTCAGGCTGAATTCTTTGTTCAAGCAAAGCGTTTGACTTATCTATTTTTCACCTTTTTTACAGTTAACAGATTCAAGCCTTCAATATTTATCAGGTGTTTGCCATTATATTGAGGCGCTAGATCTATCTGGCTGTGTTCATATAACGTAAGTGCACACAAGAAAACCATTAGTGGTAACATAACAATTTGGATATTCACAAATGGCTGTCAGCCATGTGATGTCTAAACGGATGTCTCAACAGTTTAGTTGAGCGGTTGAAGTTTCGGCTCCTAGTGAAATTTTCTTCTGTTCTGATCAGCCATTGAGATAAGTTTTTTGGTGTGTTGACAAGTGTTGTGCGATGCGTCGCGGACAGTTACGAATCTTGATTTTTATTACGAAATTCTTCAGTTCAGTATTACATTTGAATGGTAATCCTTGTAGTTTAAACTACGTACATCGGTTGCTTTAAATTTTATATCCTTGACGGTTGTTACGGATCGTCTTTCGATGTATCTGTATTTCGAGTATAGTGCCCCTTAACCCCCTAAGATTGACTGGTATCTAATTTCTCCTTACAGTCTCATCCCTGAATCAAACATTAAAACAAAGAGAATAAAGATATGATCGCCAATTTAAGAAGCTCTTGATTGTTAAACAAATTCCTTGGTCAGCACAAGACGAAATGTAGAGATCAGTATGGAGAATTTGCCTACTGATGTTAGGGTGTGCAGGTTTAACACCTATTTTAAAACTATTCTACTCTTTACGGAAGCGATGCAGGTCGTAACAAGACTTGTTTTGGTTTCAGAGACAAATCTTTACGGTACTTGAGGAAAGGATGCAAGAGATTGTCCTCTTTGACGATACTCTACTGTAGAAATGTTTCAAAGTAAGTTAAGTATCTTCCAGTTTATCGATATTGCTTTTCAGGTCTTTTAAGATTGTCGAGGGAGATAACGAGCGGTCCCTCCTTTGTGGCGAAGTTCGTCATGCGAGTTAAAAAAAAACAAAAGAAATCGAATCTTTGGTAATGAAGTGTACGAGAAGTAACTACTTTTCTGGCACCTCACTCCCAAAGTTCCGCGTGGTAAATTTTTTCCTCCTAACTTTTACGGCTAGTGTGAACTGTTTGTTGTCTAGATTGCAAAGTAGATAACAAACTGATAACACCGCTGCAACATGCCTCGTCTCGTTATCGCGTTTCTGCGCTTCAACAGATATCCTCGCCTGTGGCTACACCTTGTCCTGCGCTTTATGTGTCGTTACGACATGCGCAGTTTGTAAGGGCACCATGAATGCTTTAAAAACCTTCCTTTTTATGCTTTTAGAAGTTCTTGAATCTCACTGGCAGCTGTAAGTGCACTAATCGCTTATAACGCGCGATTTGTGGCGTCGATTACTTCGTTTCCGTTTCCCAACGATTTATGAACTTCCAAAAATGACGGAATTCAGTTCATTTACGAAGTCATTTTGGTAATCAATACCGAGTGTCCAGCTTAAATACTTAAGAGGATAAAGACGTCAGATTCTTGTTTAAACAGGTGACTGAGTAGAACGAAAAATCAAAATCTGTACTTACCTAGCGAGGACGATACTTTATTTTGTTTGGCATGAAGCACGTATGAAGAATAGATTCAAAAATTTTCCGGGGTAGGATGATTCCACCCCCCTCACCCCTGCTACAAACTCGCGTCCTTAGTGCTCGTTTTCAAGCCCCCGTTCCCCCCCCCCTCCCCCGGTTGAAAATAGGCCCTGCCGTTCCTGTATCTGTTGAGTACTATTTGAATTTCTCGTTAATTCTACAGCTAGTGTGTGCAATCCTTTTCCTTTAAATCATTCATTTCATTTCTTAACCCATGCATTGTTTGTGCTCCAAAGTTGACATATTCTAAATCTTTTGTAGGTCTTCTGTTCAGAAGCTTCAAACCAAATGCGAACACGTGCTCCACAGTTCTGACGATCCATCGCCAGCTCTAGGATATTAGCTGACTACTCACACAGATGGCTTAAGTCCGTTAGAGGTCCATGGGAATGTGTACTATTAAGAGTCCATTCCATACTCTCATGTTGTTTCAACAGGAAGATAGAGTTGAAAATTTCATCGTTCTAATTGCCTCGTTGAAACGGTGCTTTAGATATGGTTGTACATAGGTTTACAAGAAATACAATTTCTTATGTTTCAAAATTCACAACTTTGTTTCAGTAAAGAAAGTTGAAATTTATTTCAAGAATGTAAAAAAGAATTCAATAAAATACTATGCATTGAAAAAATAAAAAAGGAAATTCAATATTAATTAAAGCAGACTCATTTTGTTTGCTTTTTAGACAGCTAATGAACTGGCCACAATTTCCAAAATTTAAATTTACTTATACATTACACATCTTTCTCTTATCAATAGGCCTGCTTTTTATGGCCATTCTAACGTCTGTGTCAACAATAACAGACAGGGCTCACCTCTGCTCTATGGAACCTTTATTTATGGGACACTCATTACTACAGAAAATGCCCCCATTAGAGAGGTATCCCTCCACTGAAGGTGACAGATACAAAGGTTCTCAGGGTTACAATGAAGACGTTTTACAGTGTATGGTTCTACTCAGACAGCATTTCATTGTATAGTACTTTTTGATTGGTTCTTTTTCATCCAAATCATATGCAATCTTCTGATACTTAGACAGCCCAGGTAGGGCTGTGTAAAGCCATCCTGCCTGGGAGAGGGGGAGGGGGGTGGGGTAGGACTTGAATTGACACAGGTTTTTGTTGGGTTTGATGATGCCATTGTGACATCTGTTTCTTCTTTGCATTTGTGAAATCTCTTCTCCCATCCTATGTTCTGCCATTATACACCATTCTATGGCCTGCTATTATACGGCATGTCCCTAACCACTCAAAAAGAAATTGTGAAATGCACATTCATGTGTCGCTACTGTATTTAATGGTCAATTGCCACAGATAATTACACACTCCATTGCCTCTACAAGCTGTAGAACTTTACACATTGGTTCACCATGAAATGTAATTACCATGACCATGTAAATGTTCATTTTTCATGTGCCCTAGTAAATGGAAGTTTTTCTAAAACTAATAATGACAAGCCTTTCATTTATGGCATAATCTATGGAAACATGTGATTGTAGTGGCAGGTAAGAAAAGAGAGAGGGTCTGGACCCAGCACTGCTCCCCCCCTGAAACACACACACTTCTTGTCACACCCATGGGTTTCTATTATTACTTGACTAACACAAAAATTCTTGCAATAGCAGGATTGCATATTACGAACCAAATAGCTCTTTGCTTACTTGTTTGGGAAAATGAAGCACTTGTGAAGAGAAGTTATTATTGTGCCTTATTATTGGATCAAAGGTTAGATCTACCTATCAACATTTTGTGGATATGCTTCTAAACTGCATGACTAACTCTGTGGTCAATGGTGTGTGTCATGCTAGTAATTTCAAAGATTCAAAAAAGGTCATTGAAGATAGAATGAGATTTGATGTAAAAATTCATAATTTACATTGATTGATTGCTACCAGTTAAAGTCTACCCTTCTGGGCAAAACCACTGTGTAATAAATTCCAATGTCACCAACTCATCATTCAGTTTCAGTTCTTTGCATATAAGCTGCATATGCTGCTTCTTTATATTGAGCTGCTGCCTTAACAGGATCCTCAGCCTGGTAGATACCTCTTCCAACGATTATAACATCACTGCCTCGGTTTAGAATGACTTCTTCAGGGGTGAGGTATTGTTGGCCAAGGTTATCTCCTCCAGCACTAAGTTGTACCCCAGGGGTCATATGAACAAACTGAGGATCATTAACCAAACATGACAAGCTAATGAATCCCATGACAAAGTCTTTGTGAGCCTTGTGCCATGTCTGCAGCTGCCTTTGTGTATTCCCCAGTAGCCAATGTTCCCTTGGAGCTCATTTCTCCAATCAGCAGACACGCCTTTCCAAGTGGCAAACCAACTTCTTTGAGGCCATTAATCACACCATCCCCAGGAACTACATGTGCATTAACCAGATCTGCCCATTCTGCAATATGATACAACCCTTTGGAGTACTGATTCTTGACGGTGTTGCCAATATCAGCAAACTTCCTATCTTCAAAGATCAAAACGTTGTGCTTTGCAGCAAGCATTTGAAGTGATTTGGCAAATTCTGGGGTGAAATCTTCCAGAATGTCAACGTGTGTTTTCACGATGCAAACATGGGGCCCAATCTTGTCAACAAGACTCAAAACTTTATCACAGCTGGTGAAATCAACAGAGACTGCCAGGTTTGATTTCTTGATATGCATTACCTCAAATAACTTTTTGGTGACTGAATTACATGCAATCTGCGCTCTTGCTTCGAAGCTAAGTTTACTTCCCGGTTTGGCCGGTACTTTGGCAACTGCTGCTGGCGTAAACGTGTTTGTTGACAGAAATTCACTAACTTTTCCCGCCATTTCTTGACCAACTTTTCCCTTTGCCAAAAGCACTTCAAGAACTTCAGGGAGAGTTAGAAGACTGTGAAGCTTAACACCCTGAAATTGAAGCATCTCTTTTCCGCCTTGAAAGCGATCTAACAAAACTACAGCGTCCGAAACGACTAATTCTACCGAAGCAAGGGCTTCTACAGTTTCAAGAACACTCGATCCACTTGTGACTACGTCTTCGATCACCAAACAATTACTCTTCGGAGTAAAAACACCCTCGATCAGCCGCTTCGTTCCATATGATTTAGCTTCTTTTCTTCGCATCACCATCGGGACATTTTGGCTAACTGAGATAGCAGACGCAATCGGTAAAGCGGTGTAAGGAACGCCGCAAATTACAGAAAAATCTGCTCGCGATGTGGTTGCGACATCCCATAACATACCGCTGATTTGCTTCAGAATTTTCGGATAAGAGACGATCACACGCAAGTCAACATACACTGGGGATTGTATTCCGCTTTTCAAGGTGAAATCACCAAATTTTATGGCCTGGATATCGTGTAACTTCTCGATCAGACTTTCCTTATCGCACGCCATGATGAAATCTCGAGAACATTCACGTGGGACTGGGAGTAGCGGTTGTACAATAAAGCGATCGCAGGCTCAATACCGCCATATTGAAAATGTGCTTTCCTTTGCTTCGGTCTGAGATCGTGTCATTCGGCAAATAGTTCGAAAATGCCTCTTCCTCCGGCTCTTCAAGCTCGTCTTGCAAAGAGAGGGATAATTCATAAAGGTAAAGTGATCTTAAAAGGATGTACTTGGGTTTTCGATTTTGTTAATGTCAAGAAAGAAGCGTGTCTAGTTTGAGAGTAAGACTTTGTTGTTGTTGTTACAATGTAGATAAAGAAAAAGCAGATGAACCAAGTGGAGTCGATGGACCCGTTAAAGGCTGTCCAAACACATCAAACCCGTATCACTCATGTGTGGAATATTGTCGTAAGAGATATGGCGAAAATGCAATTGCTCCTCAAGTAAAGGTGAGAGCTAAACGGTTCTGCCCAGCTGGATTAGCTACGCGCTGGATTCAGGAAACATTAAAGAGTTTTCAGAGTAGCTATTGACTACCTTGTTTGATTGGCCAGTGGAGGGTACATAATCCTGAAAATAAATGTTGTCAATGATGGCAACTAACACATTATGCATATTCTCCATACTGTTCTTAAAACATTTCCTAAGGTTCTGAGAAGGAGAATATGTTTAACAATCAATAGCTTCTTTAGTTGGTGATCATTTGCTTTATTCTCATGACCTTAATGCATGATTCATAGGTGGTACTGTGAGGAGAAATTAGATGTTAGTCACTCTTAAACCTTTAACTCCCATGAGTGACCAAGACAGAATTTCTCCTGACAATGTCAATACAATGTCAAGCAGACAAGTGACGAGAACGAAGAAAAATATAAATTAGGGAATGATAAGTTGATACAATCCCAAATTCTCCAAACTAACATCGCAAGAACTGTATGGCAGACGGTAAGGAGAATTACTGATGAGATCTCGGTTGTTAAAGAGTTAAACTGTGCTTTGTAGACACAAATTATTGATTGATCATTATTTCATTGTTTTATCATTGTCAGGATTACAGTATTGTACCATTACCTGTTGGATGGTACTTGGTACCCGATCCCAATAGGTAAAGCAACTTAGCAGATATTTTTACTTTGAAAAAAGAAATCATTCCTGTTAATGTTCTGGATAATATTTTAGTTGATTCAACCAATACATTACTCTTGTTTCTGAGCCCTCTAAAAAAGCAGAGTGTTGCTGTTCTGATCCCAGTAATACTGATAATAGCGAAAAAAATAGCATTGCTTATGCAAGACATTCCTTGTGCTGTGTGTAGCTAAAAAGCTGCCTTTTTGATATGAAGAAACAACAAGATTACCTGCCCTGCAATGATTTTTTATCCTAAATTAAGAGGAATAGTCTAGTCACCAGCGCTGGACAAAGAAAAAAAATTCTGAGTCCCCATGAGGAATCAAACCTCAGACCTTCATGCTTGGTACTCTCATGCTCTACCACTGAGCCACAGAGACTCTAAGGTGAGCAAGGCCCATTACAAAGTTCATATATGACAGGCGTTCTGCATACTGCTGGGATCAGCAATGTCGATAGTGTCATGATTTGTTGATGGAGTAAGAAAGATAGTAAGTTTAAAGTAAATTTCATCCTTTTGATTTACTTTTATAGTGGATCCAGGTACTATTGGAACACTCTTACAAATCAAGTATCATGGCTTCACCCATTAGGTGAGAGTTTGTGTTACTTATTAGTCTGTCATCATTATGGCACATAATTATACAGCTGAGGGAAATTCTGGAGGAAATTGGTAGTTGATCTACTAGTGGGTAAAGGTAAAGGTAAAGGTAAAGGTAAAGGTAAAGGTAAAGGTAAAGGTAAAGGTAAAGGTAAAGGTAAAGGTAAAGGTAAAGGTAAAGTTAAAGTCTGTACTGAAGCCTATTGACCCACCCAGTTGGAGCTTAACTTGGTTTCTATGAAGCAGCAACTAGAAGTATCACTACTCCCTTCTGGATGGGATGCCAGTCCATTGCAAGGTTACCCCCTCCCCCAGCATTTCATTAGACTCCTGGAAAATTCACCAGTACCCATTTGCAATCCTGGGGGGAGGGGGAGAGAGGCACTGTGAGAGTAAAGTGTTTTGCCCAAGAATGTAACACATTGACTTGGCCAGGTCTCAAACCTGCACCTCTCGGCCTGGAGTCCAGTGCACTGATCAATAGGCTACGACATCTCTCACTGATCTACCATTGAGGAACAATATAGTATAATTATAATGATATCTTTTTTGAACAAACGTGTTTCTCAGAATTTTGAATCAATTCATTTGATGAATCTTTGTGGTCATTGGTATGTGTCATAAGGAATTTTTAAAAATGATTTCCTGTAGCAGAATTTAGTACCCTCTGTTGGAGTGTAGTGCTGACAATTTAGTCTTAATACCTCTTTTTCAGATCCTGAGGCGAATGTAACTCTCCCTTCATCTGTACTGGACAAACAAAAAGGTCATTACTATTTATGTGTATTACATTAAGTTCGTTTTTTGTGGTTGTTTCCTTTTCTTGACAGGGAATCAATGTATGTTTATTTAATTGCCTGAAGGTTTGAGGTCATTTTATATTGTCAGTTACTCTTTTGCAAGAAAATCACAAAATAACTTTGTCGTGACTTCTGGCTATTTGTTAAAGTGTACTTTCAAATTATGTGAAATGATGTTCAGTTTGTAAGCCAGGATGCTCTTTATGCAGCACTAGGGTATTACTTTAATATGTGTTGTCTCAGTTTGTTCAATAACTGTGCAGAAAAAATTCCCTCTCACATGACCCATATGGTATGAAATACTGTTTAACCCCTTAATGGCCCCTCAGAGTAAGTGGCATCTTATTTCCCCTTTCAATATCACCCCTGAATCATACCTTAAGCAAGGAAACGATCACCAACCAAAGAGACTCTTGATTGATAAAACAAATTCTCCTTGTCAGCACCTTAGGAAATATATAGAGAATAGCATGGAGATTATGCATTCTGATGTTAGGATATAACAGGTCAAGGCCTTCATTAACGACCTGACTTGATGATATTTTTCAGAGGCCCAATCAGAAGTTCAAGCAAACAGAGAAATCCTTGCCCCACCAGGGGTGGACACGGAACAAGATAAGGAACAAGTGCTGAGTATTGGCAAACATCCCAGTCTTATGAAGGTAATAAAACAAGTAAATAAATACATCCCTGTGCACATTTTTATTCATAAAAAGCTTAGAAAGCTCCATGAAAGGCCAATTGCCAATGAACTTTGTAGCTTCCTCTAGGTTTTGTAACATGAAAGAATATTGGTACTTGCATCTGCGTTAAGCCTTGAATGTTGGCCCAAATATGAATATGGGAGTGTGGCTTATTAAGATGATGATGATTGTTATTATTATTATTATTTTTATTATTATTATTATTAACAACTGCATCGCTAAGTGGAGGTTGGGTGCCTGAGACATCCAGGAGCTTCCACTATTGGCAGCCAGTTCCTAGGTGGAGACTGCTCCCATGACTGGCAAATCCTGGCAACCCAGCCATGAGCTCCCACCCAGGAGAGGGAAATAAGCACCCATCACAGTGGAAAAAGGGAGGGAAGGTTGGGAAAAACTGCCTGGACGATGAGCTGCCATTCTAAACAATGCTGCAAGTTCACACTTAAAGCACAGGCAAGAACGCCTCAAATGAAGAGCAGATGGAATTCTGAGTCATTCCTATATGTGAAAACTGCTGATTGCTAGAGTACTCTGATGCTCTTTGTTTTTAACACTGTTAAATTGCATTTATTATTATTATTATTATTATTATTATTATTATTATTACTATTGTTGTTATTATTATTATCACTTCTTTCATAGTCAAAGCTGCATTTCATTTTACCTCTCCCACATACTCATTTTTATTTTCAATTGTTGTTTTAGGGTTCACAAAAACGACAAGAAGCAGCTGTAAAAAGAAAAATTGATAGAGGTGATGAATACCTTTCTGCAGCACTTTTACAAACTTGTACAGACATTATGATTCCATAAAGTTAACGGATCAATATCAGTATCTGGGCAACTGCCCACCTACCCCTCCCCTAACTCAACATTAACCCTAACTTGTCATCAATTGACTGTTGTTGGGTTAGGGGAGGGGTCGGTGGGCAGTTGCCCAGATACTGATATTGATCCAAGTTAACCTACATGTATGGAGTGATAGGCCTTTTTTTTTTTTCTTTTTTCATTTGTCTTTATTTTCCTTTTGTCATTTTCTGTAGATACAAAGGCTGAAAAACGTAGAAAGTCAGAAGAAGTCGACCCCATGGACCCTGCTGCCTATTCTGATGCTCCAAGGTATTTTTTTTCTCTGAAAAGCAGACTGAATGGTGCAACTCTTACAATAATTATTCCATAGTCTCTTTTTTAACTTTTTTTTAACCCTTGAACTCCCAAGATCTGATTGTTAATTCTCCCCTCTAGTTGTGACACATTTCTGTGTAAAGTAGTTGTGAGAATTTGGTGACAGATCAAGATAACTTCCAACTGATCAATTTGAGCATTCTCATTACCTGTTTGTTGGATAATGTATGGATATTAGAGTGAGAAGTTACATGGGAGATGGTTCTCTGTATTGTTTAACCTTCTAAGTCCCACCAGTGACCAAGACAGAATTTCTCCTTACACTATCAGTACAATATCAAGCAGACAAGTGATAAGAATAAAGAAAAATATCAATTAGGGGATTATTGGTCAATCCAATTTCAAATTCTCCAAACTAATATCATATGAATTGTATAGTAGACAGTAAGGAGTTTAAGGGTTTAATCATTATGGTAAATGGGGGAAGGTTATACAATGATTTTATTTAATTGATTAAATATTTACTTTTTTTTGTGGCTATTATACATAATATGATCTGTTGTAAGTGGCTTTCCTCTTATTATCCAGCTATGTACTAGCTTAGTAACACGTTCACTTCCCACCAGTCTCCAGCTCTCAACTCCCAAATAATCCTTTAACTGCAAATTATGATGGGTAAACTTGTACATGCTTGAGCTGATATCTTATGTCAATTCTTACACTCTGTTCACTGGATAATGTATTTGTTGTGTAAGAAGAAAGCATGTTATTCACCTTTGGGAGTTAAAGGTAAAAACTAATAACTGTACATTTTCCACAGGGGAACATGGTCAACAGGTTTACTCAAGAAGGGAGAGGCAAAAACAGGTGTAGATACAACTGCTAATGGACCATTGTTTCAAATGCGACCATATCCCAGTCCTGGAGCAGTACTCAGAGCAAATCAGCAAATATCACAGAAAGGTGCTGTGGAGACTGCTGAGTAATACTCAGTTAAAGTGCTTCTTAGTTGAACAGGTTTTTTTTCATGGGAGTTGCATGACACATTTTTCATGAAGAAAACTTTGTTTTAGGACTTTCCCTAGAAGGTTAGGGCCATGTAAAAGCACTGCTTTGTAGCTTTTATTTGGAAAGTCAAACGCTAGGATTTTAACTGAAGAACTGAAAGAAAGAACTACATTGAACAGTATTTTAAACAGTACCACAACAAAGAACTGCCTAGTAACTTTTTGAATAATGACACACGGAGATTTTCACCAAATAGCGCAGAGTCAGAAAATTTGAGTAACCACAGGTAAACTGTGAGGGCATGACTAAGAAATGGGAAAAAATGAATCTTTAAGTCTTTCTTGTGAGTGCAAAGAAGATGCCATTGCACACACTGTGAATATTGTCAGTGTTATTCAGTATATTACTAACACTTAAAATTATTAAAGTTAGTGAAAAAAAATCGTTTTTCATAATTCTGTGGACTCTTTATTTCATCTGTCTGCAGAGTGCATGCAATATATCTTATGAGAACAGTAGTTTGAATGTGAGCATTACTACACTCTTTCTACATGGTGGTTTAAAGATGAACAACTGTTTTATTTGAAAAAGTCCTTTCAAAATGTGAGATGTTGAAATGTGTGTAGCTAGTCTTCATTGCAAAAAACAAAATTAAGAATGAAAGAAAACTTGTTAAAGGCTCAGTTTCACCCTTAATTCATTGCGCGCCTCCCCCTTCATTAATGAATATTCCGTAGTCGAAAATTATCGACCAAGCGAGTCACTTCAAAATCCATTTCAATCGGCGGATATTTTTCTCTTTTAGTGTCTGTAATTAATGTAAACAGGCTTCTTTGCTATCATATTCTTGCTTTTCATGGATATTTCGGATAAAGAGTTCGAGTAGGCTCGATCATTTTGTGCGAGTTTGTGGCTGCGCTGACTGATCGGTTATGGCGGATGAGGAGAGAGTTGTATGTGTTGGAAGGCCCCGTTTACCGGGTTCGGCTAAGTATATTCGTCTCCGACAGTCCGTACTCAATCTTTGGAGCGAGGGGAAAGACAGACTAGGAAAGTTTACGAAGTGGTTAGATGTGTCTTAAGTATTACACTACCCACACTTCAAGAAACTATCCCCCATCATTCCCCGCGACATCAGCCGTGCCAATGTGTCACTATGGCGACAAGCTAAACAATGGCGAGGCAAAGTGTCAGATTATGGCACGGCAAATATTTTGCAGCAGACTATGACAGTTGGTCCGGGTGCTATGATATACAGTGCACTGAAGCGCATACTGAAGCGCATACTAAGCGCATACTAAACATCAAACCGTCAAGGTATGTCTGTAATTTGAATATTGGAGTTATATTTCTCAATTGTTTGATTGTGATTGCTGTAAAGTTTATTCATAAAAAGATTGAAAATCAATCTGCGAAGGGCTCGGAATAAAAAATCTCGTCTGATCTCTGACTATAGTTGAACCTTTTTCCTTGGTAAACTGATCGTGTGTTTTACGTAATATCAGTCTGTAGGAAACATGCCGCTGGACAGATTAAGAAAAACTTAACTTCAACCAGCTGAGAGAAGTCGAGCCTTTTTTTCTCCCTTTACTGAGCTAATTATTGAATGAGTGTAATGCTTGCATAGAAATGAGGCAACATTCCTCTGACGTAAGCAGACTGCTTAAACAGAAGAAGAAAAGAATAGAAAGAGGATGGAAACGAGAAATGAAAATATAGTAATTTAAACTAGCTGGCGCGTTCGTGCATTTTCAAATTTTCAGTGTTGTTCTCTTTTCGAGCTAAGGTTGATGTGTACAGTTATGGAGTTCTCCTCCGTGAGATTTGCATCCGGGAACTACCAGATCCTGACAGGCGCGACGAGCAAGTTGCTATGGTGACCAACCGCGTGCTTCGAGCTCTCGGAGATGCCTTCAACAAGATGCTGATGTAAGATCAAGTATGGAAGACATCATAGGTGAACTCAAACAGTCAATGTAAGACTGGTTTTTCTATCTACACTTGCAATCGAAAAGAAAAGAAACATAACAACCTTCGATCTGAAATGGCCTGTGTACACTGGTTTTTTCTTGGCTCTATGCGAATGTGCTATAATGTGTAAGACTTGCTATTTGAGATGCTGAATGTTTCATCAGCCGAACTTAAATCAAACGTGGACCAGCTGGCTGCACTGGAAGATAAAAAGTCACGAATTTTATCATAGAATCCTTTAAACATTTTCAATATAGTCGAAAAGAAAGCGAATTCAAATTTAACAATACTCCATTCTCCTCCTTTTCCTTCTGTTTTCTTTACTCTCCCTTGCGAGTCCCTTTTCCTCCCCTCCCCCGTGACAAAAAGTATGTGTCACAATTCATGATCGAGGACGAGTGATCAACAACCGTGGAATGATTCGTGCGAATCAGGAAATACCGCGTGATACCAGAAAGTTCATTGAAACAACAACAACAACAAAAACAGTACAAGAGTTATGGGCATGATTCACATTGGAAGACACAGCTTGTATCAATTTACCAAAATTTATGGACTGGATTCAACATTAGTAAAATGATTCGTTTTTTCGTACCGTGACGAATAAAATCATGAAAGTCTACTTATAACAGGTTTAACTTTAAAGATTCTGTTGTTGTCTCTCAAGTTAAGCGCATAAGTCCTCTTCATGCGTCTATGCACAGAAGGCCTCGCGCAGAGAACACCAATTACTTCTGTCTGTTACCGGTCGGTCAAGCTGCCCCTATGACAAGCCTCTGTCCCCCAGTTTCCTTTCTACAATTCTCCGCCAAGTTTCTTTGTGACTGTTTTATTGTAATGCAACTATTTAACCATGTTAAGACTTGTCGTTAAAGTCTTATTGAAAGAGAAAGGATGGGGGCTGTTTTTCATGTTGCTTTTTCCCTTTTCAAGTTAAGTTACTCATTCAACAATACTTTCAGTTGGAAAGTAGTTCTTGCACAGTTGATTGAGGAAGTCAGACAACAAAATTTGATAAAATTTTTTTTACGCACGATTCACGTTGTTTTTAATTTCATCTGAGTTAGTTATTTATTATTGATTGGCTCATGATTTCGCTCATTCACTTAACAACATTTGGCATTAACCTTTTGACTCCCAGAAGTGATTAAAATGTAACTTCTCCCTTTAATATCCATACATTATCCTGCAAACAGGTATTGAGAAAACTTTAACCTATCAGATGGAAGTTGTTATCAAGACCTAACACTAAATTCTCATAACTGATTTACAAGGAAATGTGTAGCGGCTAGAATAGTCCATTTTACAGTTGCGAGCTTGGTTGACCTTGTTATGATACATACCTTGCTGCTTTTCAAATGTAAATTGCTTTGTTATTATGCTAACTAGGTACTGGCTCTATCACAACAAGGTCACCTTCAGCTTCACTACAAATCAAAGGCTTGGCGACTCAGTACACAACTGTAAAAATTTTGGGGAGTTTTAAAAGTGTTAAACTATACCGAAGAGATTCATGGGTAAATAGTTTTTCCTCAGAGGGAGGTCTGGTACTTAATTTACATCAACTCAACTTGAGCTTAACTGCCGATCTGAAGTTCTTCTGCGAAAACTTTAAAAATGACATCAACACTTAATACATAATACTACATTAGACATTAGAGAGGCCCTTATCGCCATGTCTGGCTTTAAAAAATTCTTCAAAAAGAAGAGTCCTAGTGCGAAGAACACACTGTCAACCGAAGACCTTAGTGATGCCGCTAGCATTGCTTCTGGTTACTCGATCTCCAAAGACAAAGATCTGCCTAAGCTTCATAAAGCTGTGTGGAGCGGAGATTTGACCAAAGTGAAACAGCTGGCAAAGAAAGGAGACGTCAACCAGCTTGACAAGGAAAACAGGTAAAAATAAGGAAATATTGGTTTACAGTTGAAAAGCGATCGCAATTTCTTCCGAGTCGCGGTCAAGATATGATGTCGTTTCTTTGGTTACTCGGTTAGCGTCCTCTGGCTTTCATCCCATTTAAAAATACACAACATACAGCCTACTTGACATGTATTCCGCAAATCGCTCAACACAAATGACTTTTGAAAAGTGCTGTTTCGTATTGTTATACTGCCAAAAAAATCAGTTCTGTTTTCCAGTTTCTAAATTACTGTAATCGTATTTTTATATAAACAAAGTATGTGATGATGGTTTTGCCTTTGCTTTGTTCGAGATAATTGAAATATTTTATCGTGATCGTCATTGATTGTTGTTATTGGGCTTAGTAACACCATGATAAGTAAATTTACACAGCTGGTAACCACAAGAAATGACTTTTACGATCAGATCGATCGTTGACGGAAAAAATTTATTCGTCACTTGTGACATTTTTTATACAAATTGTTTGGTAACTGCAGAAATTAATTTTCCTACCAACAAATATGTAGATTAATAATTTTCTTGTATCAGGACTGTACTCAGCGAGATAGCAAGTAGTGCCAAATTGCCTGATGAGGCCGAGGTGGAATCGTGGAGAAATTATTTCAGCCATGTAGAGACAATTTTAAGCATATTCTATGGTCTAAAAATTCACCCAAGATAGTTAAATATCAATTTTGATTAACAAATTTCCTTTCCAATTTCCTTTTGGTTAGAACTGCCCTTCACCTTGCCTGTTCTCAAGGTAAAGAAGACATTGTAAAATTTCTCTTGGCCAATAATGCTAAGACAAATCTTTGTGATAACTATGGAAGGACACCGCTTATGAAGGTGAGAACCATAATATTTTAAACTTACTGTAATTATCCCCTCCCCCTACTGAAATAACAGGGTGGGAAGGGGGGGGGGAATTGGTGATAGACACCATTGAATTAAAAGAATTTGGAAGATTTTAAGAGGTTGGAGTCTCTATAGTCTTGTATATTTATTAACTGAGCTAGGACAGGTTGCCTGTTTTTGAATTTTTTTTTTTCTTTCAATGAATGTATGAGCCAGGCAGTAAAAATCTTCTGATCAATTATTTGAAGTCCCTCCTCTTGTTTAGCAAGTACAGTATCACCTTCTTGCTCTCTGTATAACCATGCATGACTTTGGAAGGGGAGGGGGGCTTTTTATTTTGGAGAAGCTGTCTCAGAAAATAACTCATGGTGTAGTTTTAGTTATTGTCTTCAACATCCTCATCATGTAAGAGTCCTCGTCATCTGATTAATGAGTCATAATTTTGAATTTTCCATAACAGGTAGTTGAATGCCAGTTCGTGGAGTGTGTTAAAATTTTGCTGGAACATGGAGCTCAAGCTGATGTTGTAGATGTTAACAATAGCACACCACTCCATCTTTCAGCAGCCAATGGTGACATTGACATTGCAGTGCTTTTGTTAGAGAGAGAAGCAAAGGTCGATGCCAAAGACAAGGTGAAGTTGTGACACTACAGTAAAGTTCAGACTGATATTGAATCTCCTGGGAATGAGCATAAGATTATATGTTTTTTTTAGATACATGTATTCAATACTAATTGAATGGATTTGAAATATTTGGGTTTAACCCTTTAACCCTTTGATTCCCAGAACAAATTTGTACCTCTCCTTACTGTCAACCATACAATTCTTATAATGCTAGTTCAGAGAATTTAGTATTGGATCAACTAATTATCCCCAAGTCGATAGTTTTCTTTATTCTCATCACTTGTCTGGTTGATATTGTATTGACATTGTAAGGAAACATTCTGTCTTGGTCACTTGTAGGAGTTAGTGTGAAATCTGATCTCAGATTTGAAAATTTTAACAGAAAATACATTATAATTCTTTCTTTCTTTAATTTGGTGATTGGATACTTTAAAAAGAATAGAGAAAATTATTCCAGAAAGGCTTTTGAACAAAGGAATAAAGAAATATTTTCTTTTCTTTCCAGGAAGGGTTTACTCCTCTACATGTGTCAGCATCACTTGGAAATCTAGATTTTGTCAATTTTCTGATTAATGAAGGAGCACAGATTAACCAAGTTGATGCTCATGGCAGGTAAACCAACTGTGCTCATATGCACAAGTCTTGGGATATCTCTTCATGGTTGCCAAGCCTTTGAACAGGAGTGAGGCTAAGGGTGACCTTGTTACGATAAAAAATGTTGCTGCTTTATAAATGTATATTACTTTATTATCATGCTAACTAGATACTTGTTTCAATCACAACAAGGTCACCTTCAGCCTCACTCCAAATCAAAGGCTTGGCAACTAAGCACACAGCTTTAAATTGGGTTATTCTCCAAGCTCAAATTTTTCAACAATTAACCTATTTGTGACTAATAAGATAATGAAATGGTGGCCAGAGAAAAATCCGTTTTCCCTAAAAAAAAGAAATATTGAAATAACCATAGATTCATCTCTTTCAGCAATAGAAAAAAAATTTTGTTAACAGCCTTTTGTTTGCAGTGTGCAACTGTTCTTATCATCATCATTATCACTACCTTTGTCTTAATTGTTATTGTTATGATTAAACAATGTTTGCTTTGCATGGTAGGACTGCATTGATGACAGCTGCCAGTGAGGGTCACATGAGTATAGTCAGACTCTTCCTTCGACAAAATGCAAACACAGAGCTGAAAGATGCTCAAGGTTGGAAGGCTTCAGACCATGCTGTTATTCATGGACACCACAGGTTAGGCAAGCATGCCACCCTTTACACAGGGGTACAAATCTCTTTCACCTTTTAACTCCCAGGATCTGATTAGCATGTAGCTTATCCCTATGATATCCATACACAATCCAAAAAACTGGTAATGAGTATACTCAAACTTATCAGGTAGAAGTTGTTGACTCCTGATCTAACACCAAATTGTTGTTACTTAATTGAACAAGGTAATCTGTAGCAGCTTGAGGGGAGAATTAACAATCAGATCTTGGGAGTTAAAGGGTTAAATGAGATTTCACTGAATCATGGGAATGATACCTAATCAGCAGGCTGTTACCACTTTGGTGGCAATGGTTACTAGAAAAAATCTTGGGCAATTAACTGAATTGCTTTTTAAGTCGCTAATTTGGTGATGTGTGTCCAGAAGTCATTAAGCAAGTTGTACGCATTTTTACAACTAAGTTTTTATGGTGTTACATGAAAATGAGATTAAAACACTGTTATGGAAATTTAGTCTTGCCTTGTCATTCTCTTATGTAAAGTTTGCCTCTTTCTTCCTTCAGTAAGCCTTGAGATGTTCCATTAATCTCTGAAAAAAATTAATGTCAGTTGTTCTTTTTAATCCAAAGACATGTATTGTGGTCAGTTGTTTATAAAACAATGTAATACTGCACAAAGTTTCCTTTTTGTGGTTGGCAAAACTTCATATTTGAAAAACAGTTAGCTTGTAGCCTGCTTGATTGTCCTCCAATTTAACTTTTCAGTCATTTTTTTCTCTTCCAGTATTTCAAATATTATCGAGGAGCATGAGGAACAGCAAGAAAAAGCAAAGAATCAAGCAAGAGCTGCTACTTCAAATAAACCAGCTACACAAAACAAGAGAGGAGATTTTTCAGGTTTATTAGGATCTGGAACAGCAACAAATGATGCGGATTTCTCATTTGGGGGACCAGTAGCCGATGAGGGAGGTGAGAATGTTTTTGGCTACTCTTTGGTAACAGTACTGGATGAGAAAACCAAATTTGTTTTCTTCAAGAATTCTTAGCTTGTCTCAAAACTTGAAAACTTGATTCTCAAATTTTGGAACTCAAAACTCAAAACTCAAGACTGGAAACTTGATTCACAATTTTTAACACTTTGGGAAATTGAAGGAATGAGTTTCAAGTTGAGACTGTCAACTTACTCTTTTAATTAGTTTTATTCCCAAGATCTCAGTAGTAATTCAAGTTCCTGCATCTGTCTGTAATAGATCAAGATCTTGTGGTAAGAACAAAAAGTTTGGAGAATTTGATCTTGGATCAACTAATTATCTCCTGACTGATATTTGTATCTATTCTCATTACTTGTCTGCATGATGTTTTATATTGATATTAAAAAGGAGAAATGACATCATCTGGTCTGTCCTCCTATAGATCATAAGTGAGAACCAATCAGAATGTGTGCATAACTGAGCTTATTATATAAAAGAGAGTAATACAACACAGGTTGCTGGGTGACAGTATAGTGGGTAAAAGATCTAGAATCAAGCTCTTGTAGGGTTGTTATGATTTGCTCCTTGGCATTGCTTTCATAGTGCCTTTCTCTGTCCAGTAGTATACACTCAGTCAAACCTGTGTTAAGTGGCTACACTCAGGGAATGGTGGGTGACTGCTAAGTACAAGGTCTACAAAATAGGAGTATTTTTAAAACTGATTAAAATCACCATTTTTTAATGTAATTTAAGCACTAGATGCTGAAAAACTCCATCGAAGTACTGCTAGAATTGATTTTGAGAGATAAAAAATGGATTAAATTTTACTCAAAAGATTATTCTTAGTTTTATTTGAGAATGAGTGGTTCCAAGGTGAGAAAAATGCAAAAAAGCTGTTGGGACTCTCCCTTAATAGAGGTGACCGCTTACCAGAGGTGAAAATGACTGTAAACAGTTATTAAGGGGTAAAAATTTTGGGACTTTGAAAACCAGCTGTTTAATACAGGGTGTCCCCTGAATATGGTGACATGTTATATAGGTTCAACTTTAATTAGCTATTGTCAAGAAAACCTCACAAAATGCAGGAAGGGGACTTGGGATGGACTAACATCTCATTTGGAGGAGTAATATAATACTCTCACTCACTTCATGTTAGTAAACATGGTATTGCTGCTGTTAAGCATGTGTGAGGAACATCTTGCTCTATGCCAATTTCCTTTTACTTGCCAAATTTTAAATTTGGTTTCACATTCCAAGTAGTCTTCCATGCAGTTTTCATTGGCTGGGATGTCACGCAATGGGACAGAGCTTTAAGCTTTCTTTGAGATTATTCATAATTTACGTTAGACTCTGTAAACCTTACTGTAAAGTTTCCTTTTGATGCAGGTTACAACAGCACCTCAGCAAAAGAAGAGGATTCTGCCAGTCAGTAAGTATAATCTAAATTTACGTAGCCACCTTCAGGGATTTCAGGAAGCAGTGCAGTTAGGGAGAGTAGCGTTAAGTAAAAAGGAAGTAGTCTCCATGTGTGAGAAACAATAGCACAGGTTATTGAAATTTAGCACATGAATTCTCCCCAGTAGCCAGTGAATTCTCTGACCCCCAATAAACAATTCATTTGAGGGAATTTCAATTTGTCCTCATGGACAAGATCAATTTTTTACTTTAATTTGTCCTATACAACCAGGCTGGGAATATTACAAGATGAAAAAAAGAACCAAAATGAAATGAAATTTTATTTGCATGCCAATTTGCACTTTCTTTATGATGAAGCTTGCCATCTCTCTTGTTCTATACAACCATGTTTGGTAATTGTTTGGTGAAAAATGGTAGGCTGGGAATATTATTAGGCTTGCATGAAAAAAGAACCAAAATGAAATGAAATTTTATTTGCATGCCAATTTGCACTTTCTTTATGATGAAGCAAGTCGATTATTTAATATGTTAATGTGGCTAGATGTAACTAAACCTTGTGTAAGTGAAAATTATCGCCAGCTATAAATATTACTTACATGGAGTAAACTTATAACAAGAAAACACCTGCTGTGAAATGTTGTTATGTGTAATTATATGCAAGAATTAGTAATGAGCATCATAAACTTAACGTTGTAAACGAGAATCCTACCGGGTGTTGTTCTGAACAGAAGAGTAAGGTGGAAGACTAATATAGCAACTGTTAGTGTGTAGTTTATAGTA